TCAAAGATACCCTTCAGGCAGAAAACCTGAAATGTAAAAAACTGCACAGACTAAATCAGTATAATTGCTGTGCAGCACAGATAAAAATGTGGAGCCCTAGCAAATGAGCTGAAAGGACAAGCTCCTAAATTAACAGAAGCTCTGTGGAAGATGCTGCTACCTCTGAAGTCAAGGACTAGGGACAGAGGACACAGTATTTCTTTTTTGGGAGCTGGCTATTTCAGAAGCAAAACACAACAAAATTGAACAAAATAAAATTATCATTCTGAAGGAATTTGCTGGAAAGTGCATTTTTGTTGGGTCACGAATACCCATGAATCCAACAAACAGTTCAAGCTAGGAAGGGTTTGTTTTTTAATAAATAAGAACATTTAGCTGAATCTATGAACAAAACATTTCAAATACGGATTTTCTTGCAGGCAGTTTAAGAAGAAGGGCTGTAAGGCATTATATTGCCAAGTGATCCATGAGTTGCTCTGTTTCATATGGCCCAGTACGTCTGTTTGCTGATAATGTGCTGGTTTTTCATTTTGCTAATAAACCACAGGGCCCAAGATGTTTCTGAATCCTAGCAAAATTAGCTGAGTATTTAAAGGCACATCTGAAGGAACAGCATTTGTACATTGTGTCTTCAAATGGAGGTGAGTGGTATTTACTAAAATTCCATTAAAAGTCTGGCAAGCAAAGACTCAACGCATTTTTTCCTGACAGCACTGGTATGTTGTGTTTTGTTTTGGTTTTTTTAACTAGAAAGCGGCTTTTTCTCTTTTATAAAGCAAAGTGTTTAAATTCATAGTGTAGAGACTTTGATGACCAAATGCAAACAAAAACACAAATTGATTTTTCTATTTAGATTGCTTAAGACTTTCCAGGGGGAAATTCTAGTCACCAACTGCTGCACTTATGAATTCACCCTACCCAACTTCATTTCTTTAAAGACTTAAGAGACTTCAGTTGATCGGTCTGAAAAGAAAATAATTTTATCTGCTATTAGCATGCATGCTCAGAGTTCAGTTTTAATTAAAACATGAACAAATCAATGCCTGTTGAAAACTGGTCACAGCTGTTGAGCCCAGAGAGTTGCCTTTAACCCATGTTACTGTTTGTACCAAACAGCTGCATTTTCAGCTTCTGCTTCAGTCCCACTGCTGCCGAGCCATGAAATGTGCCACTCCACTCCATTTTCATCTTAAAATTCTCCTTCACCTTCCATACTGTATTGACAGAAGTCCAGCCCGTTGAGAATGCAATCAGCTCTGGTAGCTGATGTGGCCAGGAATCAGAAGCTTCCCAGTGTAGTGTAAGTACCTGACTTAACTTTCTCCAACATTGTAGCCTGTAAAAGTTTTGACCTACAAAGCATGCTGGTTATTCATCCAAGGAACATATTCCCTTCTTTGCAAAACTGGATGTATACTAACATCCTCTCAGCATGCATCCTCTGAAGGAAAAAAACAGTCATGATTTGAAGTTAACAGGGATTAAGTTTATATTAAGTCCTATTAAGTTTGTCCTGACTTTGATGTATGGCTGATGTATGCAGCCAGTTATTGTATGATCTGTAAAAATCTATGCCATTTTAATAGAGCTATAAATTAACTCAGTATGTTCTAAAGTATTGAAATAATTTTTTCCCCCAAACATTAGAGTTTGCCATACAAGTTTCTGTTTTGTATCCAGGTACATTCTATAACACATATTTCATTTAGAGTTTGACAACTTAAAAATAGAATTAGTCATCAAACCATCAAACTATTGTGACTATTATTTTTTGTCAGTAGGGTAAGACAGAGCTTTGTTGGTTTTTTTTAATTGAGGAAAGGCCAAATATTAACAAATACACATTTTAGATTTATTTCAGGTACTGGATTGGGGGAAGTACTTAAAGAAAAATTAAACTTAAACCTAGCAAATTTAACAAGCAGACAATGCAAATAGCTTGAAACTACGGCTCTGAAAGAGGTCTGAACTATTCTATTTCTTTGAACTCTGCCTGAGCCCAGAGACCTGGTAATGAAAAGGGGGTGGGTGAAATAGCCAACTTGAAAACTTGTGACTGGGAATGAAATACATACTTTGGACTCACGAAATGGACACAACTGGGATAAGCAATCTCAGGTACCCACTGCAAGTTTCACTGGTAGCAAAAGAAAACTGCTCCCGTGTGGGGTGAATTTTATTTGGACAATACAGCTTATAAAATCAAAACTAATAGAAAAGTTTACACAACTCTTCCATTTCAAACGTTTTCATTGAACAGTCCAAGGTACTTTGCTCCATGTGGAAATTTGCAGGTTCCAGCCCCGTGAAACATGTCTGAATTCCCCTTCATAAACTACTCCAGAAGGATGTTCTAGCCTTCCAGCACCATTAATCTGCATTTGAGAGATGAAGACAATGGTTAATAATTATGCTTACATTATTATTTCCTTTTATTACAATTTCCTTTCCCACTGCTGCCTTGGAGTCTGCTATCACACTCAGATATGATAAAGTAGGAGAAAGTGATTATGGCAGATATATCCGTTCCTGCTTTTACAAGGAATTTAGGTAAGAGCTTAGAAGTTTTGGGCTGGCCATGGTGTCCAATAAACCCCTCCTCTGCTGGTAGTCTCATGGCATCCTAACAATCTATGCAGCATGGAACTGGATATAACTCCTTTACCCTGACAGCCTGAGGGGTTAATTAAATTTTTCAGAATTTCTTTCTGTGGATCAAGGCAGAGCAAGCCTTTCATTTGACAGCCTAGGCCACTAAGCAATGCCTGGGGATTTGAATCTGTGCTATGAAGCACTTCTGTGCCATAATCTTAATTCTCACTGTTGCAGAGACTGAAAAAAAAAGCCAGACTAGATCCCATAAAGTCACAGACCACTATTTGTATCGTTTCAAGGGCTGTTTCCTCTACAGTGTCAACAAAATAGACAATTTTCCTATTCTTCCTCATTAATTCCTGGGGAACTCAGCAACCAAGGGCAGCCACACAACAGTGTACCTGTCAATGACCAGAGCTCCCACTTCCTTGTGGGATATGTGTGTGGTGGATGTACACATGCAGGAGAGCCCACTCTGTGTGCACAGCACATTCAGGCAGGGCTTTCACAGTGAGTGTATGTGTTGGGCACCACCAACACCACAATGCACAGGTGTTTCACTGGGACCTGCCTCCCAGCATTTATTGGTGTGTTTGCAGGAGCCTCGGGAGGCTGGAGGACACCTGAAGACTACAGATATGTCAAGTCTTCAGACCGGGCTGTGACAAGATGCCCAGGTGGAAAAAGAGCCTGCAGCATTCATCTGATCTTTTTTGGGTTATGACTTTCCTTTCTGTGCCTTTTTAAGGGTGGATATGGTGATATTCCAAATACAGAGGAAGCTTAAAATGAAGGAATACGTAAAACTGCCTTGTCGTTTTTCCAGCAGCTAACATACATAGATGCATTGGCCCCGTTGTGAGGCGTTGAGCACACACTCAGTTGTTCTTTCGCAGTTCCCCTGCAAAAATGAGTAGAAAATGAGAATGGTGGAAGACAAGTATTTTTCACTTCAAGACAGACAGCATCCGAGAGGCAAAACCCCAGCAGATCATGCAATGCATTTCTTGTGTTGCACAGAGCTGTTTCTCTCAGACGTGACTCTCCATCTCCTGTGGACAGGCTCCCAGAGATGGACCCATGGAACAAGCACCTGAGGAAACAACCTCATGGCAGCTGCTGTGTGTCTGGGTTGCGGGGTGTGGTGGTTCTTATACAACTAAACCAGTGTGGAATTTTTATTTTTTTTTTTCTAGTAGGATTTTTGCTTTTAACTCCAGCTTGGTAGAGGTTGCCTGGAGGAGTTGTGGAGTCTCCTTCCATGGAGTTATTACTCAAGACCCGACGGGATGTGCCGCAGAGCAGCTATCATGGGTGACCCTGTGTGTGTCGGGAATCTGCAGAGGGGCCTCCCAACCTCAGCTTAAGGCCCTTTTCTCTTGTCCTGTCACTTGTTACCAGGGAAAATAGACCAAGCCCCAGCTGGCTACAACCTCCTTTCAAGGGAGCCTTAGAGAGTGATGAGGTCTCCCCTGAGCCTCCTTTTCTCCAGGCTGAACACCCGCAGCTCCCTCAGCCACTCCTGATAGGACTTGTGGGTTGGTGCAGCGAGCGCCTGCCAAGATTTTCAACTGCCATATTTGTCTTTTTTGGGAATACGAAAGATACTTTAAAAAACCACTACAGTCTGTTGAGAAACAAACAGCCAGTGTCACTGATACAGCTGCTGGCCAAAATTCAAGCATACATATATATATATACACACACATATATATACATATATATATTCAAACTGATGCCTCAGAGCTTTTCGGATTTTTTAACTTTTGTAGATTTTCTAAGTAATAACTGTAGATTTTAATGTAGCTGTATTATATCCCTTACCCTGTAGCATAATGTTTACACATATCCAACCCTGTTACCCCATTTCATATCAATCCCTCTAAATTCCGTTAGTGCATTTATAGCCTTCAAGGCAGAATTGTAGAAAAGCCTGGATCAGAAGATATTACACAGACACAAGCGACCCTCAAGCCCAGACCTTTGGAGGAACTCCAAGGACTGTGTGTGCTGTGGAGAAGATGAAGATGAGGAAGAAGGGGTCCCACACAACCCCAGACCCAATTCCCGGAGGGGCAGAACGGGGCAGAACCGGAGGTGGATAAATCTGGGACTGGGCGGACCTTACTACAAAACCACAGAACCGCCGTCGTGGGTGGGCGCACGTCGTGTGTACTCCCTGGGCCTCAGGCCTGAGATTAAAGGACCTCCTCTCTTTTGTCTTATATACTAAATTGGCCTGGAGGGTTTTTTTTTTTTCTCCGCGCTCTCCTAAGGCAACAAAGCGCACGAAATTCCCACTGCTGAGCTGGAGCGCTCCTTCTTTCCCGGGCAGCCCTCGGCCCTGCCCACGGGGAGGAGCGCGGCGGGGGCGGCCGCGGCCCGGAAGGGAAAGGCGGCGGATCCGGGTCAGGGATCGCTGCGGGGCCGGTGCCGGTGCCGGTGCCGGGCGGGGAGGTGAGAACGGGGCGGGGGAGCCCCCGGAGGGAGCCGCGGGGAGCGGGGGTGGAGAGGAAGGGGGTGTGCGGCGGGTCTGCGAGAGAGGCTGAGAGGAGGCGTGTGGGTGGGTGAGTGGGTGAGTGGGCAGGGGATGGGTCTTGGGGAGAGAGAGGGAGAGGGACACAGACCCCGTGTGACAGCGGCCCCGGGGGCGCCTGCCGTGCTCACCCTCCTCGCCTCCCTCATTCACCGCGGGCTGCTCCGGGCGGGCTCGGCTCTGTAAACTCCTGCCCGGCCCCGGCTGAGCTCCAGTGAGGAGAGCGGCCACAAAAGGGGGAGCTGGCTGCTTTCTAAGCCCGAGACCGCTGCCGCTCCTCCAAGCCCTCGTTTGGGCCGTGCCTGGCCGGTCTTGTCCTGACTGTGGAGGTGCCAGTGGAAAGATCCCGGTGATGAGCTCCTGACAGGCTGCCCACGGCTGCTCACCTGCCCTGCAATAGCTTTCCATTAGCAGTTGGAGCATAATGATGGGCCACTCTGTCCCTGACAGCTGCTCAGTGCTAATGGGCTTGTGTGAGCGCTGGGGAAGATCCTGCTGTGAGAAGAGGAGGTGTTCTGCCATCCAAGACAAGTCCCCCAGTCACTTCCCTTCACTGAGCGCTCAGCAGTCTGGGCAGCTCTCTGCAGAAGCAGATAGGTCAGGAGTTTGATGTGAGTTAACATAAAAAACATTGTATCTTTGGCGTTAGCCCCCCTTCCCACCTTTTACTCTCAACCCCGCAAACTCCTGAGTTGAAAACTGACAGCGCAGAGGCTGCTTTCTTCCGTGAAAATTCCCCTGAAGGTTTTTCCTGTGGGCTTCAGTGTCCAAGAAAACTCCATCAGAGTGGCCAAACTGGAGCCCCCAGGCTAGGCAGCACTGCTGGTAGGCTCATCCAGAGAGTGTGAAGCCAGTTTTGTCAAACCTGCAGGTTTTGGCTGAATAGCCGTAAGGAATATTACTTTTTTTTTTTTCTGAAGCCACAGAACTTACTAAACAATGTTCTAGAATAGTGTTGCTTGCTCCAGATGCATACAGACACCCACATACAAATCATTCACTGTGGTTTGGGAGAGTGCCTTCTCTTATCACATAGACATGTAACAAATAATGAGTGCTTAGACATATGCAATGTGATTCATAAACCTCATAAATAAGAGCTATTTTTTCACCTTCTTCAGCAAGAGAACATGAGTTCGGCAGGAAGGAAAAGAGGAAAGCCCAACAGAGGAGGAGGAAGAGGGAGAGGAGGAGGAGGAAGAGGAGGCAGTGGAAGAGGAGGAGGCAGCGGAAGAGGAGGAGGCAGCAGTGGCCGTTCAAACAAGCCTCAGCTCGGTGGGAATAGGAAATGTTCAGCCAAAATTTGGGACGATGGAGATGATTTTTGTCTCTTTGAGGAACCAAGGCTAGAATCCAGGTATTTCTTATAATTTGGGGAGGATTGGCAAATAGATGTCTGGGGTACTTCAGGATTGTTTGGGATACTTTTTTTGGATGTTGGGATACACAGACATTTGGGGGTGGTTTTGGACATCTTTGAATATAGAGAAGAGGGAAAGGGTGATGAAGTTGTTTCAGTATGAAGCACTTTTTACATGTCTTTTTTTGATTAGCACCTTATAAATTTTGTAGCTAGGAAAGTGATTTACTTTTTAAAGATTAGAACCTCTGATTTTCTTCTTCAGTCATAATTTCAGAACACTTTTGGTCAGAAAACACTAATAAACACAGGATGTTCATTGTCATGTATATAAAGCAGAAGCTGTGCCATAGAAAATAAGCAGTTTGGAATTAGTTTGGTATCCTGTATGTGTTCTGACCAATCTGTCTTAGAAACATGTCAGAAATATGTTGTACTGTAGTCTGAGAACAGCTTTACCTAGCAAAGTATTTAGTAAATCACTTTGGATTTGACATAGGTTACAAAATGTATGTGTGTGTGTGTGCAGATACAGACACACAAATCCTGATCATGTAAGAGTGAACCTGGGTGAATAATCCTTAGGTGGTGGACTTGTCTTATTTTGGTTTTCCTGTTTTGAAGTACAGGGTTGGGCCCTAACACATCCCAGTTCAGTCAGAATCATTTGGGCCAGGCAAATAACTCATGGTTGTGTCCTATTTTAATTTTTAGATCAAGTGCCCCTGCCAGAAGAGGAGGGCAAATAAAACAGAGACCCGAAGCAAGAATGCCTCTGCAGACCATACACATGACATCAGAGAATCAGAGAAGAGTGAAAGAACTTCTTCAAGAGCTTCAAGGGCAGGAGCTGGCTCCTGAATCAGAGTTAGTTTAAATGGAAGCACTAATTCCAGCCCTTGTAAAGGAGCATCTTTAACAGGCGTACTGTTACAAATGAAAACAGTATTTTTTACCTTAACTTTTCATTTTATCTCAAATCCTACGGTTTTGAGTCCTCTTTGTTTTTCTACAATATTAACTCTGGGAAAGGGGTAGCCAGATCTTCCATTTAAATGAAGGATTTAAAACTGCAGAGACAGAGTTTTGTGTCTGCTCAACAGTATAATATTGTTTCATTTTAATTTGATAACTCTTTTTATCAGTGTAGCTGGTGAAGATGATGACGAACCTGATTACCTCGATGATGAACAGTGCTGGTCAACAGAACAGGAACTTTCTGAAGTGATACCAAGGTTGTCTGCTGAGCCAGCTGAGCACAGAATTGTAGAAAATGAAGTGTCTCCATTTGCTGTGCACAAACTCTCCAGGTGATGCTTTTTAGTGAGTAATTTGTATCCCAAAGAGGTAAATCACTAGTCTCAATACTGTAAACCCTCAGGGCTTGGACTTCCCCTTGACTCTGAGGAGGTCTATGTGCAGAACTGTGAGTTTGTATCTCCTACGAGTTTAATCCTCAACTGGGTGAATTTAACATAATGATTTTATGAAAATAATCATTCCAGCCTTTTTCAGTGACGTTTTCAATTCTTTCTCCAAGGCAACGAGACAAATACTAGGAAAGCTCAGGGAGCATTGCTTTTGTATGTATGTTTTTCCCAGGTAGGGGGGAAACCTTGTAAGTGTTCTTCATCCATTTTGCTCAGACATGAGTATTTTTGCTTTGTTTGAGGGTATTTGTATGTGGCAGCTTTTTCTGAAGGGTTTAATTTATATAGTTCAGTGGGGAAATCTAGTCCTGTAGCTATTGTGTGCTACATTCTGACAGTTGCTACATAAACTAATTTACCATCTTACAAACCACAGACTGGCATTCACAGACACCAAATTGCTGCCTGCCACTGTCATTTAAAAGAACATGAATATTTTGGTGTGTTTTTTCCCCTAATGGTAGTAATAGTATCTCATGCCATACATACTTCCTTACTTTAAGCCTAATCAAGCAGATGTGTGGTTATTTTGCTTCATGAGAGTTTCTCACTCGTTGCCACGTTGTCTCTGTTTTGGTGCAGGTATGGTTTTGACTGTGAGCGTTGTAGGACAGTGCTGAGATCCTGCAATGGTAATATTGGGGCATCGTTGGAGTATTTGCTATTGCAGTGCTTTACCGAAAGATATGGAGAGAAGATGCAGGTTTCTGCAGCAGCTGCTGAAGCCAGTCAAGAAGAATGTTTAGAACAGAGACAAGAAGAAGCTTTTGCCCTCCGGTCAATCTATGGAGAGAAATTTGTCGAAAGAATTAAAAATCACGTTTGGACTTTTAGTTTGGAATTGGAGTACCTAGCAAACAGACTCAGCAAATCTAAGCAAAAGGGTGGTTGTACTAGGGACACAGCAAAACAGACTTCAAAGGAAATATGTAAATTTTATCTCCAAGGAGGCTGCAGGTTTGGTTCAAAATGCAGATTTGCACATGAATTCCCTCCAAACCATCCACTAAAACCATCCAAGAACTCTGTAGACGATGCTCATCTCAGGCATAATGATGGTCCCATATATGAACTTGAAGTAAGATTTCCTGAAGACAACAAATATCCACTTCAAGCACCTCTTGTGGCATTTTATTCCACTGATGAGAATCTGCCTCTTGCTTGTCGTTTACACATTGCTGAATTCCTCTTTGGAAAGGCCTTGGTAGCTGCAGAGTCTCATGAACCAGTTGTATATACCTTAGTGACTTGCTTAGAAGATGAACATGAAATAAGTGAGTTACTTGGCAATACTCAGCACAAGTACAGTGTTCCTCCTGTGTCCCTGCTGGCAACACCTCCTGTAAAGCTACAGACAGAGAGTACACCTGGTTCAAATCAGCTCTCTGAAGGTACACCAAATCTCCTTCTGTGGTTTCTGGGCTAGGAACAGTCAGAAAGATTTTAAAAGGAAAAAAAAAAATAAAGAGAGAGGACAAGGCAGAGCATTAATGTCACGTAGTGAGCCAGATCCTTGATCTGTCTGTGCCTCCTCCATAATCAAGCCACAACAGAGGGGTTTTGTGGTGGCCAGAACTGAGTTAAAGGAGCACAGAGCTAATGAGTTTGTTTTGGCAGAGTGTGTGATGCCCATTCCCACACAGTCCATGAAAGGGCATGGAGAGATAGGGTGTGAGCTCACCAAAATGGACCAGAGGCTTGACAGGGAAGGGGGAAGGTTGTTTGCAGAACTTTGGTGCGTCTGCTAGTCATCAATTCAGAAACCTTTTTTTTTAATTACTTAAAATTGCCTCCTCAAAATTAACTTTATAAAGGTGGATTTAAGGCTAAGTGAATGTTGAAGGTGGTTCTAGAACGTCGCACAAGGCATTGACCCTTTTTATGTGTGCAAGAGCAACTGTGTTGATTTCACAGAGGGAGAGCTGAGGCTGTCACTTATGGCAGGGTGACAGCAACTCTGTGGCATAGGTGATTTCCAAGCTCTCAATTCCAAAACTGTTTTACCTAAGCCAAGCTTTCTTCAACAGAGTTTTCTAGAACAACTGTGTCACATTTTAGAGCGCTTAAATAGTGACAGCTTATGTTCTTGTTACAGTAAAACAAATTATTCCATTTCTTTAACAGCTCTGCAGAAAGACAGCTATCTTCCAGAAATTGAAATCAGAGATTCCAAATAATTTTTTTAGTTATAAAATCTTCCTTGTGCTATAAAATGACTTGTTTAGATAAATGCGACCTTAAAATTTTTAGGGCTGGCTGATGGTCTGAGCAAATCCCACTTCGGTTCATAGGCACTGGGCACCAAAGTGCCTAGTTCAGTTTTAGCTTTGGTTTAAAAGTACTTGCTTTAAAAGTCACTTTAGAAGTGACTTTTATGCTGGTGCTGCCATCAAAGTCTTGTGCTCCATAGAAGTGGTTGTGGGGTGAATTGAAGAGGTGAGCTGAGACACATGAAAAACGTTCAGGAAGGCACCGTTCTGGTTCACTGTGTGGCCATCCAGACCATGGTGTTGACTGCACAGCTTATGCAGAGGTAGTGACAGGTGGGATGGGGCTGGAGAAGTTGTGGTTTGATGAGGTGAGGGGAGGTTTGCTGGTAGTGTTGAACTAACTCCTTGTCAAAAACAGTCCTGCGGGCCCTCAGGTCCAGTGTACCGAGGTTCTTTGTTGAGAATGCTGATGGAATATGTGTCTCTTCTCTGCATTACTGATGAGGTCTTGTTCCTTAGTTATAAGAATACTTAACTGCACACTCTCTGTCTCAAGCCTCAACAGTGTCAGAGCCTCAAGAAGAGGAGGCAGTGGCAGAAGAGGAGGAGGAGGAGGAGGAGGAGGAAGAGCCTGAACAAGTTGTTGTGGAGAACGAGAGTTACGTGAACCTCAAGAAAAAGCTTTCCAAAAAGTATGATGTGCAGGCGAAGTCTCTGTATAACGAAAATGTCAAACTCTGCGCGCGGTTTCGGCAGAGAAAGGTACGATGTGAAGAACATAATGTCTTTTTTTTCTTGCTGACTTTAGAGAAATGAATATTTAAGGCATAAGCTGCTGTTTTAAATGGTTCTATTCCACTCCATTGGTGTTCTTATTGTCTGTTTTTGTGCATCAGTCTTCTAGGCACTTCCAGTCCATGCTGTATGAAAGACAGAAGCTCCCTGCATGGCAAGAGAGAGAAAACATTCTGGATTTGCTGAAGAGCCACCAAGTTCTTGTTGTGAGTGGCATGACAGGGTAAGAGTGTGATTGCACACAGAGACTTTATGTATCAAAGCATACCCAGAAGAATGTGAAATACATATCCATGTCCTGGAAAGGGCAGGGTGGTGGCCCATCTGTGACCACTGGCAGCAGTCCTAGGTGAACTTCATGTGAAGGATCACACTAGTGAAGCAAAGCAAATGTCAAGTGGAATGCAGTCATCTTAATATACGTGGATAAAGGTGTTCGATTTGTGAGGTTTTTAATTAATCCTTGATTCTGTTGTGCAGATGTGGCAAAACCACTCAGATCCCTCAGTTCATTTTGGATGCTTCGTTGCAAGGATCTCCAGGCGGAGTTGCAAACATCATCTGCACTCAGCCTCGCAGGATCTCTGCCATTTCTGTGGCTGAACGTGTAGCCAAAGAAAGAACAGAAAGGATTGGACTCACTGTTGGATATCAGATCCGTCTAGAAAGTGTAAAGGTATGTCTGCTTTGCTTGCCACTTTTCATTTAGTTCTATTAAAATGTGCTTTGTGCTTCTCTAGTGTCCAGAATCTCTGCCCTATACCTGCCATGTAATGAGATAAGCAAGTTTGTATCACTTGTATTTTACACTATATCATCAACCATATTCTGTATTTTATTTTGTCTCAAGTTGCACAGTTCACTTTGCAGAATGAGAGTGCAGTCCTATGTCTTGTGGTTGTGCTTTCTGTTGAGAGAGGTGATGGGGTTTGAGAGCACGAGCAATACTGCTGTCCTTAGGAAGGCTACTGGCTTCTTTTCTGCCTGTTGTCATTTCCACTTGTCTCCCAAGGGTACAGCTACAGTCACCCAGAAGGAGTGGTTGAATTTAAATTTCTGTCTTGGAAGAAATTTTATCTGCATTGCAGCTGATTGCTTTTTCCAAGGAGTATGCTAAAAAAGAGATTCACTGGATCTTTCTAGGACCAGAGATCTGATTGCTTATCAGAAAACAATATCCACAGGAAGAATGGTTCAGATTTTTTTGACAGTTAGCAATGCCCCTTGGTAAGAAGCAGGTGTTCTCAGTTTCAGCCAAGAACTTAAAATCCATCAGCTCATCTCCAGCAGGGGCTGCTTGTTCCCTTTCTGTCAAACCTGGCACTCAGCTGAAACCAAATGCTTTACAGCAACTCACATTCTTTTTGCACTATGTTGATTTGCCCAGATTCAACTGAATGCTTTGTCTTACCCTTCAAGTCCTCAGCTACCAGACTCTTGTACTGCACTACTGGTGTGCTGTTGAGAAGGCTGGAAGGAGATCTGACTTTGCAGGGAATCACACATGTTATTGTTGATGAAGTTCACGAAAGAACAGAAGAAAGGTAAATAATCTCTTATCCTATAAGCAAAACAAAGAGAGGAAGCATAAAGGTGACTAAATGCAAGTAACTGATCCTGTGGCTGTAATGTGGGATGGTGGAAGGAGTCTGGTTTTAGGTTCTTGTGCTTGGGCAGTAGGAAATTATGTTGCACAGCTTGCAAGAAAGCACATCTCTCTCATATTGCTTCTCTCAAAATGCCTTCAGTGTGCTATTACATTGCAATGGTGTTGAAAAGACGTTTTGGATGGGCCTAGAGGGTTAAGTGACCCTTTAACCAGAGCTGTCTGTTTCTTATACTTCCCTTGTTTCAGCTTTTATCAAATACCATAATTCTTCCCATGCCCTTTGGGGAATTTTTTTCTCCTGAAGTAGGCTTCAACAGAGCACCTGCCAGTGACAAGTGCTCACATTTTATTCCAGTCTATGGATTTTACTGGTTCTAGATAGTCTTGTCCTATCCTGCTCTAGGCTCCTGCAATTTCCCCCACTTACCTGCTGGTGAGAGGCAAAAGATAATGTCTGTCAGTATCTCTGTAGATTAAGTGGCAAGGAACCCTTTCTTTGACATTTTGCTTGAGAAACATTACAGTGCAGTGGGCTTCCAGGAGGCTCTGTCTGTGACCTGTTATTCTGCAGATCAGATGATATTGTAGCTTGTGTCTCTCAAGAATTCTTCTTCCTTGTCATCTAAAGTCACTTTAAGCCAGTCTTACAGGAATGCCACAAAAGCTATAAATATATGGGGAAGAATACAGTGAGTGGGTAAGAGAAGAGTGGGTAAGTTTGAATAACTCTTTCAGTGAAAAAGAGGGGCAAAAAGGACTCATCTGTTCTTATCTAATGTTGCACTGCCATTAATGTAAGTAATTTATAAGGTTTTTTTGTTGCTTAAATGAGTTTGCCAAGTAATCCTGACACTCTAGTGAGGGACAACCAAAGAGAATCAGATTGAGATTGCCTTCCCTTCTGAGAAGCTCATGCTTCTGTGATTGTATTGCTGTGCTATTGAGAACACCAGGAAAGTGGACAGAATGGGGAGAAAAACAGGCAATCTGCAAGTTAACACTGAAGAAATTTATATGTCTTTTTGCTTGTTTTCTGCAGTGACTTCTTGCTGCTGGTTTTGAAGGATATAATGGTTCAGAGGCCAGACCTGCGCATTATACTCATGAGTGCCACCCTGAATGCAGAGCTTTTTTCTCAATACTTTCACTCCTGTCCAATTATTAACATACCAGGTGAAAAACCATTGACTTTTATTATCACATTCATTGTTTTAGAAATTTGTTTTCAGTATTTCTTCTTGCAAAATGTTTCTCAGCTCAAGCACAAGGGGCTAATTTGCAAAGTGGCAAGATGAGGATGTACACAAGAAATATGATTCCAAAGGCTTAGGAGGAAAGACTGATGATATTTAGGAGAGAAAGGACTTGGAAATTGAGATGTTTTTGTGTTGTCTTTATACCAGCAGAATTTCCCTCCCCAAAAGACAAGAACCATGTCCCTGGGCTAGTTTCACCACAGCTGAAGACTCTTCTGCCTCCTTGTGAAAATAGGATCAGTGAGAGGATCCAGCTGGATGTGTATACATTTAGCTAAATGTGCCTTTTAAATTGCTAAGTTATTACATGGACCAAGACAGGAATGTGTAGCCTCATGGATGTATTCCCATAAGTGTATCAGCCCTTCTGTCTGTGTAAGTGCATTGTGTGTGTTACCACAGAAACCTAGAGCTGTTTGGAAGGGAAGAGACTTGGAAGGCTTCATCCCCTTGCCACGGGCAGGGACACCCTTTCACTAGACCAGGTTGCTCCAAGCCCCATCCAACCTGGCCTTGAACAGTTCCAGGGATGGGACACTCAGAGCTACTCTGGGCAACCTCTGCCAGTATCTCACCAAGAGTTTCATCCTAATATCCAATCTAAAGCTACTTTCTTACAGTTTAAAGCCATTACAGCTTGTCAAAAGTCCCTCTCCAGCTCTCTTATGGGCTCCCTTTGGGTACTGAAAGGCCACCTCGGAGGCTTCTTTTCTCCAGGATGAACAATCCATATTCTCTCAGCCTTTCCTCACAGAAGAGGTGTTGCATCCCTCTAGTCCCCTTCATGGCCTCCTCTGGACCCTCTCCAACAGGGCAGTGTTGTTCCTGTGATGAGAACCCCAGAGCTGGGTGCAGCACTCCAGGTGGGGTCTCACGAGGGCAGAGCAGAGGGATAGAATCACCTCCCTTGTCCTGCTGGCCATGCTGCTTTTGATGTCCATAAGAACTCCAGACCGTGCTTGGAAGACACCTACTGTTTGTCCTGATCAGAAATTGTGTTGAAGGGGTGCAGTGTAGATGAGAGCTGTGAAGCCAGTGCATGTCATAATAACCTGTATAAAATTATAATTATCTTTGGTCTTTTTCCTCTTTTCTGTACATTGGGTGGCATGTAGATAGGTTTATTCCTGTGTTTGCTTTCAGGTCGAACATTTCCTGTGGACCAATTTTTTCTGGAGGATGTGATTGCAATGACAAGGTATGAAATTCATACATTCTCCAAGCTGTGTTTGGCCTCTGAGGTTACGCTATTGATCTTGAGACTGAGTAGTTCTGTGCAGATATTTAAAAAGCAAATCCTCTCAAATCTCCCCCATCACCTGCAGTCTTAGAGTTCTGGCTTTTAGCCATACCTTTTGTACTGCAGTGGGGTCTAGGATCTCATGCAAAAACAAGCCTTTCTGCATTAGATATCACATTAGTACTCAAGGAAAGGTGAGCTTTGCTAAGAGTACTTTGTTGGTGCTTGTGCTCTACTTGTTTCAGTGGTGATTAGATGTTGACAAGCAAAAGAAATTTGAGTGTAGATTTAAGCACTGAAGGTGAAAAATGTAGGATACCAAACAATTACTTTTCGTAAGCCCTACCTTGCAACTTGAGTTGCAGATGCCTCTTACCCTTTATAGTTACTGGAGAATCACAGCAGTTCAGATATTCCAGATAAATTGATCAGCTGTTTTGTTGATCAAAAACAAAACTAAGCCCACCTAGCTGTCACAATTAAGTTTGCAGTCCTAATCTTTCACATCACAGCTTTTAGTAGACTAACATCCCTATGTAAAAGGACACCTTGACCTTCATATTATCTATGATTTTGCAACCTGCTTATACAAAGTTCCTCTCAGACTTAATAAATAAATATTTTTGATACCCTATCTCTGTAGTTAATTATTTGAAGGAGACTGTTAGGCTTCTTTCCACACCACCAAATGTTCTCCTGCTGTCCAGATATGTTTTAGAGGACTGTAGTCCCTACAGGCGGAAGGCAAAGCAAGAAAACAAACAGAATGCGAGACACAAAAGAACTGCATTTGAAGAAGTAGAGGAGGACCTGAGACGTGCTGGCCTTCTGGAAGGCACAGACACCGTTGTCAGAGATTCAGACCCAGACCAAAAATTAACTCTGAAGCAGCTCCTTACACGATATAAAGGTGAGCTCCTTCTTATACTCAATAAATTGGCACAATAACATTTGCCAGACAACATGGTATGTTAGTGTATATATATATATATATAATATATATATATATATAATGTTAGTATATATTATATATATATATATAATTCAGAGTTGGGTACTTGTGAAGTTTTAGATGAGAAACTTCCTCCCACTTTAAAAAACTAAAATTTCTCTGAAATGAGAGCAAACATCTTGGTTGAAACCAGTTCTTAGCATCTGAAAATGGACAATTTTCGGCCGCTGTCTCTTTCCATCCCTTTTCAGATGCCTTGTTAATTCCACTTTCTCCTCTGTATCTGTTCTTGCTGAAGCAGCTTTACTAAGAGCACAGCGTGCATCTGCCCACTTCAAGGTCACTTCATCACACCAAGCCTTCTTTGAGAAATTCAGTCACCCTGTGAATGACTTAATTAGAGAGGCAGATCTTTCCATGAACTGTGTACTCTACCATCATCAAAATCCTCCTCATGCTTAGTCCTGAAGAGTTTATCCCTGCACACCCTTACCTTGAGCTCCACAAGGGTACTGAGGGAGAGCCATTGCTTAAAACCTTCAAATTCCTGCTAGACGGTTACCGTCTCAGGAGAGTAAGGGAATTTGGGTGTTGTTTTGACTTGGTGGTAAGAAACATTGGAAGGGAGAAGAGGGAGCTGGAGAAGGTAGTCCTGGAGGTATCTTACCTGTAAGTGGACATATGGAGTGCTTTGGCTCCTCTTACCCCTGGTATGTGTCTGTGTCATTCTGGTAGTAGATGAATCCTGGTCTAGGCTGTGCCCAGGACAGGTCTGAGCCCCAGTAAGTGTGAGGAAGGAAATGAAGGGCTGAAACAGAGGGAAGCATGGAAAGGACAGCGTGACACATTGAGTCACTATGGAGCTACCTCTGTCTGGTCTAAGCCAGGTGCTGTTTAAACTAAGCTGTGCCTGGCTGTGCAGCCAAACTGCTTCAGTGCATCTTGTTTTCTACAAGAGAGAGATTTACTGGCTGTTTTATTTCCTTTTCCCCAGGGGTTAACAAGGCAGTGTTGAAAACAATGTCTCTCATGGACTTGGACAAAGTTAATCTGGAATTAATTGAAGCCTTGCTGGAATGGATAGTTGCCGGCAGACATTCATACCCACCAGGTAACTTCCCTGTCCTTGGGAGACAAACAAAAGGAGATTCTTGGAAGCTGTGCACTTACAGACAGCCCAAAGCTAATGATTTGTATGCAGAGTTTCTGTAACTACTGACTATTGTTGAAAAAAGAATAAACTTCTAGTTGAGTAACAAAGGTCCTGCTATAGCTGAGATGGGGAAACTGAGAGAATTGTCTGCTTTGGAAAGTCCTTTGTGAGGGGCTTTTAAGACCTTTTTTTTGTACAATAATTTGTGCTTCTTTTTGTACAATAATTTTGAAACAGAGCTGGAGTTTTGACTTGGACCTTCTGCACATTAATAAGATATCATACTGTCCTTTCTGTTTAGTGATTATTTTTTTTTTTTAATCTACATTTATAGGTGCTGTTTTGATATTTTTGCCTGGTCTAGCAGAAATCAAGATGCTTTATGAGCAGCTTCAGTCTAATGCTCTCTTTAATAACAGACACAGCAAGAGGTAAGGCAGAAAAGCTCCAAAACTATCAATTTTTACCTGTAAATAAAGAGTCGTTTCCTGCACAAAGCCTGCCTTTATCCAGGGATAAATAAAGGTTATTAAATGTGTGTGAGTTGACTCCAGTCAGGGTAGTTACTTTTCTACTACCTTATTGGCTTGCTCCTTTTGTTTTTCCTCCTCAGCTCAGGAAGGTTAGTTGTTGAAGTTCTTGGAGAGCCTAGTGATGAGTGTTTTCCATTTTGTGCTCTCTATGATCCAGTGGGCTGTTGAAACTTCATCTCAGCCTTTGTTCTGTTTCACAATGTTTATTTAGATACATTCAATTGTGGTTTTATTTGGCCTCAGAATTTGTTACATGGAGAAGTAATTGTATATCCTTGACTAAACAGTTTCTACACAGATGTCCACGGCCAGGTTAGCTGCACTGACTTCTTCCAGTCTGGCCTTAAAAATGGCAGATTTTGGACTCCTGAAAAGAGACAGAATATTTGCTCAACTCTACAGAAGTGACAGGTCTCAGAATAAACTCCACGTTCCCATAGAAAACGTGTCCTCAGTAGCGTGGCCAGCAGGACCAGTGCAGTGATCAGCACTAGTGAGGCCTCACCTCAAATCCTGGCTTCAGTTTTGGGCCCCTCACTACAAGAAAGACGTTGAGGTCCTGGAGCATGTCCAGAGAACAGCAATGGAACTGGTGAAGGGTTTGGAGCATAACTCTGATGAGGAGCAGCTGAGGGGGTGCTGAGCCCGGAGAAAAGGAGGCTCAAGGGAGACCTTAATCACTCTCCATTTCTCCAGAAAGGAGGTTGTAGCCAGGTGGGGGTTGGCCTCTTCTCTCAGGTGACAAGTGACAGGACCAGAGGAAATGGCTTCAAGTTGTACCAGAGAAGGTTTAGATTGGAACATTTGTTCATGGAAAGGGTGGTCAGACATTGGAACAAACAATCCAGGCATTCACCATCCCTAGATATATTTAAAAACCGTGTAGATGTGGCACTGAGGGACGTGGTTTAGTGGTGGACTTGGCAGCGTTGGTTAATGATTGGGTGATTTTAAGAGTCTTTTCCAACCTCAATTATTCTATGATTCTGTATCTTAAAGGTGTTATGGCAGAAAGTTTTGTGGTTTTATGTTGCTTTGAATGGTTGTGGGCAGTGTCTAGTGAGGCAATAGTGTGTGCAGGCAGATTGTTCCCAAGAGGGAAGAGGCTGGAGACAGAGGCACTGACCATGTTGTCATATTGTCCTTCCAGGTGTGTTGTTTATCCACTTCACTCTTCACTGTCTAGTGAAGAACAGCAATCTGTGTTCCTCAGGCCTCCTGCAGGGGTTACCAAAATCATCATCTCTACAAACATTGCAGAAACATCTGTCACCATTGATGATGTGGTCTATGTGATTGATTCTGGAAAAATGAAAGAGAAAAGGTACTGGAATCCAAATTCCTCGGTGCTTTGTGAGCTGGGAAACTGTTACATGCCTTGAACTCTATACTTTAGTTTTCCAAAGAGCTAGGAAAAACTTGAAGGAAACTTGGTCTGCAGAAAGCTGCTACAAGGTGGAGAAAGCCAGTCTAAACTCAGATCCAAGTGCAGGGGTGGGAATTGTATCCATACAGAAGTTGGCAGCATCTGCCTGCTTAACCTCCAACCTGTTCACTCTGCACTCATAAATACTCACTTTTTACAAGGGCAGGTTGTATTAGGACAAGGAGTAATGACTTCAGATTGAAAGAGGGCAGGTTTAGATTGGATATTAGGAAGAAATTCTTTTCTGTAGAGAGGCACAGGAACAAGTTTCCCAGAGATGTTGTGGCTGCCCCATTCCTGGAAGTGTTCAAGGCCAGGGTGGACAGGGCTCTGAGCAACCTGATCTAGTGGAAAGCGTCCCTGCACAGGGTAGGTGGGGCTGGAATTGGATAATCTTTAAGGTCCCTTCCAACCCAAACCATTCTATGGTTCTATGAATTTAAAAGTCTGTTTCTTGCTCTCCTGCAGATATGACCCAGGCAAAGGAATGGAAAGTCTGGAAGATACATTTGTGTCTAAGGCCAATGCCCTGCAGAGGAAAGGGCGAGCAGGCCGTGTAGCCTCGGGCGTCTGCTTTCATCTTTTCAGCAGCCACCACTACAACCATCAGCTTGTAAAACAACAGTTACCAGAAATACAAAGAGTGCCCTTGGAGCAGCTCTGTCTGAGGTGAGCTGTTGTCCCTGTATTTCTTGAAAAAGCCAGTGTGAAGAATGTCCTTCCTTCACTGCAGAGAGCACTTGGCATGTCATTTTCGAGGTGTTTTGGTTCCTCAGTGTTTTCTGACATCATGAAACCCAGAAACATGCTCTGGAGGCCTGAGCCTCTGTTGAGTGGTTGCTTTGATCCTACTGTCACACTGCCTCTGCATCCAGAGCCCCACTCTAATTGCACCCTCCACCAATTCTCCCTGTTCTCCAAGTTCCCTATCTCTCACCTCATCCTAGGAAAAAATAAGATCTCAGATCTGTCATCAAAGAGAAGACAATTGCATTCCTGTACCCCAGACCTACCAGAGATGTTTGTGCCTTCCTGCTGTAAACTCTTGCAGTGTTTCTGTGCAGCACAGTGCAGTAAAGCTGCGATCTACATCAAGCACCTTCGTCATGCAGATGTTAAATGAAGAGGCCTCCCTATCCCCACTGTGCACCCCTTAGTACTAAAAGGAAACAAAACAGCACAGATGGTATTTTAACAGTAAAAACTTAATTTTAATCCTCAGTATGCTAAATAGAAATCTGTTCTTACAGACTCATATTCCACATTGCTCCCTGACTTCAAATATGTGTTATGGGCCCTCTTCTAGGGAGCATGTGCTTAGAAGCATGTTTTCTTTTGGTTTTTTTTTGGTTTGTTCTTACAAAAGCTTGCTTCTTTATCCTGTGTATGGAACTAAGCTGCTTTTTTTTCTTTCTTTGTTTTTTCTTTTCAACTTCCCCCTCCCTCCCTAAGAATTAAGATCCTGGAGATGTTTTCTGCACAGAGTCTTCACTCTGTCTTGTCACGACTAATCGAGCCCCCTAGAACCGAGTCTCTGCAAGCCTCAAAGGTGCGGCTGCAAGCCTTGGGAGCATTAACTCCTGATGAAAAGCTCACCCCTCTGGGATATCACTTAGCTTCACTGCCTGTCGATGTCAGGATTGGGAAGCTGATGCTGTTTGGCACCATCTTCCGCTGCCTGGATCCTGCGCTAACGATCGCAGCCAGCCTGGCCTTTAAGTCCCCTTTTGTAAGTATTCTTAACCAAAGTGCTGTGTTTCTGTGCAGCAGCAAAATGCTGTTGTAACTTGCAGCATATTACAGGTGAGTATTTTAGCCCTTCTTTTTAGCCTGCGTTGTCTGTGTGTTAATACAGTGCTTGTTAAGACAGTCCAGCAGAAGTTCAAAACCATGAGGCGTCAACAGGAATGGTATTTATATTGTGAGTGTACGGTAGAAATAGACTGAATATTAGTTTTCATTTCTAACTAGGAAGTGCAGAAATTTTGTCTAAATTTGGTGTTAAAATTGGAAATTAGTGGTAATATAAGTTAGGAAATGATGATAATTAATGATGGAGCTGACATGTCTGAGCTGTGAATGCAGAGTTCAGTCTGGATCTCAATTTGTGTGCTAACTATCACTTTGGCTTTTTGAATGCCTCATATTTCCTGTTATCCATGGAGAAAAATTGGTATTTTCACAGCAGCTCAGGGGTCAGAATGCAAAGATAATGTGCCGTGTAGCGCTAGAGTGGCTTGTCTAAGTGATGAGGGGAAGAACACACACAATCTGTTACTGCCTGTCTAGGTGTCACCATGGGATAAAAGGGAAGAAGCAAACAAAAAGAAGTTGGAGTTTGCAGTAGGAAACAGCGACTACCTGGCTCTTCTCCAGGCCTACAAGGTGAGATAAAATTCAGTGGGCCTCTCTTGGGGATTTCTGATACGTTTGAAATTCAAGTGGAAATATTTTATTAAAGGTTTCCTCTCATCGTCTCAATTAGGGATGGCGTTTAAGCATCAAAGAGGGCTCTCAAGCCAGCTACAACTACTGCAGGGAGAACTTCTTGTCGGGAAGAGTTCTTCAGGTAAGCCAGTGTTCGTGGCCTTTCACAGGGACCGGCTGAGACACTGGCAGAGTTCTTGTGACTCCCTGCTCAGTGTGGCAGCCACCACATATCAACCCTTTGTCTCTTCGCAGGAAATTGCCAGTCTGAAGCGGCAGTTTGCAGAGCTGCTTTCTGACATTGGGTTTGTGAAGGAGGGGTTAAGAGCCAGGGACATTGAGAAGAAGTGGTCCCAAGGAGGCGATGGTGTGTTGGATGCCACAGGAGAAGAGGTAATGCACAGCATTTCAGTGCTCCAAAAGGATGCTGCACTTTTTCAGGTAGACAGTCGTCAGAAAGCGCTACCTCTGGGGCCAGAGATGTCCTGGGGGTACACGGTGATGAGGGTGACACAGGTTTGGTAGCTGTAGAATCTTACTGTGCATTGGGACAAGCTGTGCTTGCTTTCTCTCGGCTGCAAGCTGGTTTGTAGCCAGATGGCACTGACTGCATCGGGTTAGTGGTGGCCAGCTTGGTCCACTGATAGTGGGGGGAACAATGCCCAGGTCTAGCCTGAGACCTCAGGAGCTGAGGTCACAAGTCACTACTTGTGCTCCTCTATAGAGCACAGCAGTGCAGCTATAAAAGTCAACCAGTTTCAGGAATTCAATCATTCCTGGAGCAGGGTTTTACCTTTATACACTGAACTGCAGAATACCTAACGCATGCATTGATTTCACAGGCAAATTCGAATGCAGAGAACATCAAGCTGATCTCAGCTATGTTGTGTGCTGCTCTGTATCCCAACGTTGTGCAGGTAAGAGAATGCTTTTTCATTTTTCCTTCTGCTCTCATATCCACATGGCCTGCTTTCAGTCTGGGCTCATTGTGGTAATTCTTGAGCCTGGCTTTGGTTGCCAAAGCTTGCTGCCTGTAGTGTTAGAGGCAGGCAGCAGAGCCCCAGTTTGGATTGTTTGGGACCCCTGCTGTTCCTACAGGCTGACTGTAGTGTCTCACAGAAGACAGCAGCAAATGTTAAGAAGCTACTTTAAATTACAGCTTTTTAGAAGGCTGAGGTCACAAACAAACAGGGTTGGACAGCACCTGGAGCGTAGTGACTTGGCATGTTACTACTACAGAATTTCTGGTTTTGAAAAATTTAAAACATAGGGTTAAAAGGCTTTCTGATGCAGCAGATTTTTATAACTTTTTTTCTTACCATACAGGTGAAAAAGCCAGAGGGTAAATACCAGAAGACCAGTACAGGAGCAGTCAAAATGCAACCAAAAGCAGAAGAGCTGAAGTTTGTTACCAAAAATGATGGTTATGTTCACATTCATCCTTCATCTGTGAATTATCAGGTCAGGATTCTTTTTTTCTTGAAAGCATACTCTTTTTCTTAAGAAAAGAAATCATCTTTGCTTGAGTATTTAAGATTACAGTGAGGATCCCTATTGATGTTTAAAATAAAAGATCTTAATGATTGAACAGTTCTGTGTTAGGATTGCAAATAATGGTGTGTTCCTAAGTTAAGAGTGTCTTCTTGGGCACACAGTTAAACTCCAGCCTCTGGAGTGGAACTAGGGATGCAGCAAACCCCTGTTCATGTTTTCTAAAGCTGCATCTGCAAAGCTGAATACAAAAAGGTTTCAGCTGCAATGCTCCCCTGGCTTCTCCTCAGTATTAATTATCTGTTGTTAAATAATTCAGGGACATACTCTGTTTTGTTTCTTTGTGTCCTCAAGTTCTGAAGTTAATTTAATTTTCAGCTTAATAAGTAATACTTAGATAAAAGCTCTTCTCTCTTTACCATGATGTGGTAATATTTGTCTCATGAAGTCTGTCTCCATGTTTGATTCATTGCTTTTCCAGGATGTAAGTTACTTGTTCAAAAAAAAGTGGGTTTTCAGTCAAGGCTTTGAACTGTTCGTCACTTTTGCTGTGAAAGAGCATAAAAGATGCACACGCGAGTGTTCTTAGCATGAAGTGGAGGACTTGGGGCCTTGAGGAAACACTGGTGAATTAGCTGATTTCTCATGTGCTCGCTGCAAGTAGCGTGGGGTAACTGGTGAAGTTATTGGCAGCTCTTGTGGGTCAGAGAGAGCCTGTTAGTCGTGCAGGTGCATTATTATAGGCACATTTGTTGCTCTTTGCAGCTGTAGGAGAGGCAGGACCTGAGCAGGCAGGAAGAAATGCATCCCTTTAACGGGGCTGTGGTGTGGTGTGTGTTCCAGACCAGGCACTTTGAGAGCCCCTACCTGGTGTACCACGAGAAGATCAAGACGAGCCGCGTGTTCATCCGGGACTGCAGCATGGTGTCCGTGTACCCGCTGGTGCTGCTCGGGGGCGGGCAGGTGCACATGCAGCTGCAGAAGGGGGAGTTTGTCATTTCCCTCGATGACGGGTGGATACGGTTCGTGGCTGCTTCTCACCAGGTAAGGAAAAGAAAGGGTAATCCTGGGAGTGCTGCGGAGCTGCGCTGGTGTTTGGAATGTCCTGAGCCTTGCACTTCCCTCGGTGTTTTACCGTGTCAGGTGGCTGAGCTGGTGAAAGAGCTGCGCTGTGAACTAGACCAGCTGCTGCAGGATAAAATCAAGAATCCCAGCATGGATCTGTGCATGTGCCCCCGTGGATCTCGGATCATCGGGATGATTGTAAAGCTTGTGACCACACAGTGACATCAGAACAGCCTTCTCTGAAGCCTGTTACAGGCCAAGTAACATCCGTGTCTTATTTGTTGGTCCAAAACATGGCTTTAATCTCTGAAAGAACAGGTTGGCAACTGTACTGTTGACGGTTTTTTCTTTTATTTTCCTCTTTGTTTGCTCGCTTGTTGGAAGGTGGCTTACAGTACACTCTGGGAAATGGGAAAACAGCAAATCTCCCAGGAGGAGGAGAAACCTCCAAGTAAGAAAGTGGCTTTTCCTGGCGCTGTACCCAGTAGTGTTTTCTGGTCACAAAAATACCTGCTATCCAGCTTTTTATGTTTCTTTTAATGTCTGGAGGCAACACATGACATAATAAGCTACTCCCAAATTGGTTTAAACTCACTTCTACATTTTGACCACGACTTTACTGAGGCAGTCAGTTTGGGCTGACCAGGGTTCATTTGCTTATGGTTCAACCCAAAGCCATCATACAAATGAGCACCTTTTGATTCACATCAGGAAGTTCTGAAATTTAGACAGTGTCTTCTGATGAGAGACTGCAGTGGATCAGTTGGAGTGCAGTGTTGGATCAGTGCAAGCTGTTCTGGTGACGGTAAAATGCAGGAGACTGTGGACATTTTCCCTGAAAGGCTGTTCCAGCCTCTCCTCCACAGGGAAGAACTAAAACAACTGTGAAGGGACTGGATGGATGACACTGCTAATTGTTGACCTGCTCTGGTATGTGGTGGTCCTCCTGCCACCCTCCACAGCTGGAAAAACATCACACTTTTGGAAACTTTTATCCAAACTCACACTGCTAGTGTGGCAAAATGCTGCAGTAATAACGCACTGTTATTTCTTCCCCTTAGCATTGCTGCAGCCAAGCTGCTCAATGTTCTTCTAGCAACTGCAAATAATAGCAAGTGCCTTAAGTGCCAGGACTGGGCTGTCATCTCTAATAGTAAAACCAGAGTGAGCAGTCTCTACCACCAGCCCTACCCAGCAGTAACCCTCGGGACGAGGAAGGAGCTGAGGGAGGCACATTGTTTGGGGAATAGTTTGATGTTTTGAAAAAACAGACTTGAGTGTTTGTAGAAGCAGTTTCACACCGACACTCCCGTCCCAGGAGGAAGATGACAGCAATGCCAAGACCAACATCCCTGTGCAGCAGAGTGGCCTCTGCAGCTGAACTGCTGCTGCTGCACTTCAGCCTCAGCCAGCTAAGCATTCTAATGGGCCACTCCCTCCTCCACATCCCATCTCCATGACCTGGCAGTGGGAGAGGGGAGTGAAGCAGATACGAGAAAATTCATGGGCTGAGATACAGTTTAAGAGGTAAAGCTAAAGCTGCACACAAAAGCAAAGCAAAACAAGGAATGCATTCGCTACCTCCTACGGGCAGGCAGGTGTTCCACCAGCTCCAGGAGCACAGCAGGATCACGCCCAACAGTGACTTGGGAAGACAAGCACTGTCACTCTGGCCATCTCCTTCCCCCAGCTGTATATGGTGAACATTCCATATGGTCTGGAATATCCCATTGGGCAGTTGGGGTCAGCGGTCCCAGCTGTGTCCCCTCCCATTAGAGGAGTTTTAGTCTACAGGCTTGGGGTGGAGTCAGCTTTGCTTCAGCAGTCCAGAGAGGAAAAATAGAGAAAAAAAAAGCTACTACCTCCTTTGAGAGCGCCATTGCATGGGGCAGTTTCACCACTGATGCTGCACACTGCAGCATAATGACTGTGGCCGCAGCAAAGTAGTAAGTGTAGCATCATCGGGCAGGGAAGTCACCCTCCCCCCAAAGCCCCAGTGCACTGAAATGTACAGACATGGGGGAGAGGAGGGGTAAGAGAGAGGAAGAGTATTTATTAAGTCATATGTATAGAGGCCCATTATCATTCTTCTAATTGGTGGACAGCTTACAAAGCAACAATGATTAAAGTTCATCCAAAGCCCTGGGGCTGGGTGTCCATGCACAGGGCTCCACTGCACAGCAGGGTATCCACGCACTGCTGCCCAAACAGAAGCCACAAAGATTGACTGTTCCTCCCACGCTGGCAAGACACAGCAATAGGGCAGAACATAGTAAAAGACTTTCAAGGCAAAGTTATCTGGCACTCAGATTTCCTCACTACTCTGATAATAGCCATTATCAGATGCAAAGATAAATCACATTAGAAAATATCCTGCCTTTGTTTAGCATACTTCTGTTAAATCTCTCAGTAACCTATCCTTGGCCAGATGGGGACTATCCATATTCAGGCAGCTACAGTCTGGTTTCCTAAAGCAACCCCTGATCAGGACAGAATACCCCTTCACTGCCAAAAATGTAACCAGGCAGAGCAGGTCAGAAAGGTGTAGCACAAGTTCTTGATTCCCCAAATATACTGCTACTTAAACATGGCCTGCATGTTCTGCTTATGACATGTCAACTGTAAGAAAAACCTTAAATTCCCTAAAAACAGGATCTAAATGCATTACCTTCTGCATCAGAACTGCCACTTTAGGTATCACAAAGAAGCAGCACTATTTGAATAACCAGGACATAAAAAAAAGATTTCTAAAAATATTTATTTCAACAGTTTACATTCCAGAACTATTTCAAATACCTTCAGGTGACAACCATCAGGACAGACCAACCAGCATTCACACGTTCCTTGGTTTTTCCAATCTGTTAATGTTCTTCACAGACATTTCTGTAAGTCAAATTACTCAGCATGTTAACACCCCCACACAGGTTTTCTGCTTCACCGAGCTCTGAGGTGGTACAAGAAATACCACAAGGATCCAGATCAACCAGCAGGAATGACAGCTCGTACTGGTAACTCTAAACTGGTGCCAGGCAGGGATGAAGGCACACACCTGCAGCACGGCCACTGCACCACACCCCACTCACAAGTGACTGTCACTTCCTGCCTTCTACTTTTCACCTCACGGGCACCCCGACCCGCTTCCCCAGCCACATACGAACAGAAACAGCAGGGTTACCACAGTCTATTTCTTAGTTAGAAATGCACAGTTTATTTCAATGCAACAATAAAAAAAACCAAAAAAAAAACCAAAAAAAAAACCAGCCCAACATTTCCAGATCACATAACATGAACATAACAGGAGTTTTGTATTAGTCTGCTAGTAAGATTTTTTAAAAGATATATTTTTCATGCCAATTGTTAGTCAACAGAAACAGCCTTCTAGGACTAAGCCCTTACATCACAAAATCCCTTACAATGTAAACAAAATAAATTTTTTCTTAAACTTCTGAAATTTGAATCCATTCTGTCAGGACTTTCATTCCTTCAAGGGCTTCCTGATGGTGAGTGACTGAAAGAGAACGAAAAAGATTAAAAACCACTCCTACAGCAAAACCAACAAGAACCTTCCATGCTACCTCAGGCTTCTGCTGCTCTGTCCCAGCTCTGTTTTCATTTACAGTTCACAAATAACGAGGGAAGTGTTGTATTTTGCATTTTTTGTATAAAAAACTGCTTTAAGCTTATGAGATCAGCTGCAGGTGAGACTGCTCAGAAATCTCAACTCCAGCACATACTTCTCTGGTTACACAGAAAAACTTACTTCGTGGTGCATTGCACAACTTGGCAGCTGTGCAGTTGAGCCAGCAGGAGTCACCAGCAGGAATTTAATCCTACAACGTGTTTCATGGTTTGCTCCACACCTTGCATTACTCACTTCTTCCCCAGATTCTAAATTCCTCAAGAACTTAGGGATACTTGATTCTCATTTGCCCACACTTTCTGTTGTCCTTTAACATTGCATTGAAGTAGATTCCCTTAAAATTATTATCATGACATCCTGACTACCAGCAGCAGGAAGTGCCCGTAACAATTCATTTTGCATAGTTCACACGTTTAGAAAAGTAAAAAAAACTAAGCTTTTATCCTTGCCCAAGTTAACTTCCATAGGAACCACTCCAACTTTAGTGCTATTTAACCATCTGGCACTCAAGTTTTCAAGATATTCCTACCTTCTCTTTGGAGATGGAGATCTGGACTTTGAGCGACTGTTAAAAAACAAACAGACAAAACAATTACCACTGTACACTCAGACAGTCTCTGTAACCACTTCTGACCATTTAAACCCAGAACAGTTTGGTGTTTTTTAAATGCATTAAGACATCATTCACACTGCCAACAGCAAGTGTACCCAATTACTTTAAGCAAGAAGCTGCAGGCGAAAAGGAAAAATGCTGAAAACTGGAGCCCTTGGGAAAAGAGCTTCAAACCAGCTACAAAGTCATCACGGTAACCCTGCAAAGCAGGAACAATGAATTGACGAGTTAGGAAGAGGGAGAACAATAGTCAGTTGAGAACAAAGGTAGGAAAAGATATGCTCCAAATCCTGTCACAAATACAATGTTTGTCACAATGTTGAGTGAAACAAAAACCTGTAAGCACACTCATTCTGAATTGCCTACTGTCCCACAAAATCATCTATTTAAAAAATACATTATAATAATATATGAAAAACGTTTTTGAAATCAGCTATTAAAAGAACAACAAAAAACCACAACACAACAGAAAACCCTCTTCCGCATGCAACTGAAATATTGCTCCAAACAGATTTTGAACCATGAGGAAAAAAAACACAAAACAAAAAAACACAAACCACCAACCAAAGCAAAAACCAACTGAGTGCTACTTGTATTTAAACGCTCACCTTTTAGCAGGTAAGCCAGATTTAGATCTACCATGAGACTCAGACCTACAACAGGAGAAAAATAAAGCTCAGCAAAGCAGCCAGTGGCATGCATATACAATGAAAGTTAGCTACAGCAACAGCAAATTCTTATTACATAGCATCACGAACCAGAGAGGAGGAAGGCTCTGGTGCTCCAGGCTTTCCTTGTGACTGCTCAGGAGAACCCTTTAGCTCTTATTGCAGAGACCCCACTTATCAGAAGACAGGAGTGCAAGCACATGAAGCTCCCCAGCAAAGCTTCAGCTACCACTTCCACGAAACAGAAGACCAGACTCACAGACTTTCTTCCTACCTGTAAGTATCCCTTCTATAAAGGGAATAATAATTTCAAGTTTCATCTTAGAAAATGTAGCAGCGCATTAAGAGTGTGAAATCAGCCACAAGTAAAAGTGTGCTGAAGAACTGATGCATTCTTCAGGTCAAGTTCCAATGCCCATTTTATTTGAATTATTATAATACAGATTTTTCATCAGTTTTGCCAATGAAAACATTTCAGGTTTCTCTTCAGTATCTGGTTACTGATGTGTCAACTATTCCCAGTTCATCTTGTGAATTAAAATCTACTCAAACAGTGAGACTTTCCTCACGTTACTTAACTCAAATATTTGCTGTTACTTAGAAAAAATATTTGTCTTCCTAGAGTGTCAGAATTCAGGCACGTGCTATCACTCAACATCAAAAACACTCAGTTCAACAGACCTGACCAATTTTTATTCTATTTCTGCTAAGAACTGTTTTTAAAGGGTAATCAAGATTCACCTTTACCTGTTCTATTAACTTAACAGAAATACTGTATGGGCACTGTTGGTTTAAGGTAAACAAAACGTTACGTGCCGCTGCTTTGAAACCTTCCTGGTCACTGTGCTGAGCCACCATCCTTCCCAGTTCCCACCATTATAACCAGTAACTTTTTCACTGGATCACAATTAAGAGAATGGGGTTACACACAACCACCCAGAACTGGTACTTTGTAACACAAGCATGACTTCCGTTGCTAAGTAACAGCAAGGCAAAACACACCACCATCATCATTTTACCACATTAACTACTGTTCAAAAATTCACTCCACAGACCTCAAATCATACATATGCTTTCTTACGGCCCTGTACGCACAGATTATATATAGCAGCCACAAACCAAAACAAACTTGTTTATTAAAAGAAAACTGATCACTACTTCAGTCTGTGAAAAGGCACAAATTAAGTATTGCTATGCTACACAGCCTTCTAACTCCTGCCAGCCAAATTCCCTCAGGAAGAAAAACAAGCAACGAAACACAACCACAATCAAACAACACACCAGAACTACTGTGAGTGTGAACTAAAACAAGTATCTCACCTGCTTCGAGGCCACACAACAGATCGGGACCGTGAGCGTGACCTGGACCGAGATCTAGGAAAAAAAGCAGTGGAAGCTCTAATCCTGCAGGATTCATACAGCTGGGATAGAGATCAGTTACTGTAAAAGTCACACAATATTTTGCGGGACTGTTGGCTTTGCAGAAGAAACGTTTACTATTACAAAGCCGTAGTACATCAGGTCAGTACTGCCACCCAATCCCGCTGTCCTAGGTGACTAAGCAATGACACCCTGTATCCTTGAAGCTGAACAAAGAAACCTTCACCGTAGATCAAAGCTGTAACTTTGGTACAATATTAACAAAAAAAAGCTTGGAAACAGCAGTTCCAAAATCATATGGTTAGACTTTTAACATAAAGCAAGCATTCAGACTAGTTCTGAGAAATATAACACCATAAATGTTCCTAAAAAACCATGGATTGCAAAATAGAAACTTAATGTTTATATTAAATACATATTATACACAAAGATTTAACGTTCCAACTTCAAGTTACACTCCCTTTGACAATGTCGTCCTTTAAAAAAAAAGGAAAAAAACCCACGCACAAAAAACACATACCTTGATCTTCTTAGAGAGCCAGACCGGGATCTGCGAGGTGAAAATGATCTATATCTACGAGGAGAGATTGACCTGGACCTACGGTAGGAAGCTGACCTTGATCTACAAAACGAAGCGAAAAACCAACCAAATCACTGCAAGGAACTTTTCAAAAGAGAAGGGAAAGAAGGAGCAAAGGCAGGAGTAAGAAAAAGAATGAAAACACAACAGCTAGAACCCTACCTCCTACCACGGCTCCGACTGCGTGACCGAGAATACCTCCTTCCTCGGGACCTCGAGCGCGATCTAGACCGGGACCTGGGTTTAGGTTAGAGAAAACAGGTATCACCAAACAGCTGCAGCAACCAGTGCATGTGAGGCCCTGCTGAAGTCAAAACTCATTTCAGACAACTAAAAAAGAGAGCAATAAAAAAAAAAAACCAAAACCAAAAAAACAAATGAAACAAAACAAAACAACAAAAACACACCACTAGCATCTGTCATTTGGAAAAACTCTCTGGGCCTACTCGTCTTGAGCATTTTTACTACCTAGAAAAATGTTAAAAGCTGAATTACATTTGCAGAATTACATTAGAATAGAAAACACTGTAATGCGTATTTAAAATAAACCTTGCAAGTTTGCAGGTCGACCCTCTTTGGCCCAAGGTCTAGCAGATCTAGACGATCTAGAAGTATCTATAGCCGATCGCTGCATCTAGGTGTTCTCTTCAATCTAACGACGATCAAACTGACAGCCCAATGAGCCAGGGTGAGGCTTGATTGACGCAAGAAGATTTTTCTAGGTGGGAATGTGGTCAATCTGGTGTTCCTCTTTCTAAACCGGAGGGGGGCCCCAATTGAAAGCCAAATTTACTGTTACGGCGGTCACCGTCTCAAATTTTCTGCCCTTAAAGAATAAGGTGAAGCTACGTGTAGATGGCTCGAGGGGATCTGGCCTCTTATGCTGATCACCTCAAGGTCTAGGAGGATCTTAAGTGTCGGATTTGCAAGGCGCCTCAGCATGAAATCTTAAGGCTCGTGACATTCTGAATCAAGGCGACTGACTCAAACGAAGAAACCTGAAAGGTTTTGACCAGGTTGATTATTAAAATATTAACATTTTATATGTATTAGCAAAAAAATAAAACCGTGATATACACCTGTTGACTTACAACATTAAAGAGTTAAAACCGGTGTAACATTCTGTTCTTTGCTAACAAGAACTACACAAAAGCGAAACTGGCGAAGCAACGCGGCCGCCCCGGCCCCGCACGTACCTGCTCCTCCTGCGGCGGCTGTAGCGGTGACAGTCATAGGCATAGTGGCCTTTCTCACCACACTCGTAGCATCTGTCGTTGGGGTCAAAGGGGCGCCGGGCAGGGGGCCTGTCGTAACGGGAGCGCCGCGGCATTCCCGTGGACACTTCCACTCTCACCCTCGAGCCACATATTATCCTGCAAGACACAGTGCGCGTTACCCACAGGAATAACCGTGCTCGTAAAACGAGCACGAGAAATCAGCGGCTGGTGGGCGGTAGGGGGATCACAGACTGCGGCCATGGCAGTCCGGGCGCTTCTAGGCGTGTACGTACTTCCCATCGAGGCCGAGCACGGCATCTTCAGCGTCCCGGGGGTCCTCGAACTCCACAAAGGCGAACCCCGGCGGGTTCCTCGCGATCCACACGGTTCTCAGCGGGCCGTAGTAGCTGAAGGCTCTCTCCAGCTCGCCTTTGCCCGCGCCCGTGCCCAGGTTGCCCACGTACACCTTGGTCTCTGCGGGCGGGCGGAGAGAGGGACGGGCGCCATGTCAGGCCCGCGCCGGGCACGCGGCCGCCCCTCCCCCGCCGCCATCTTTGACTGCGCGTCCATCTTAGAGCGCTCCCGCGCCGACAGACCCCACAGGGCCCTCGGATGCCCCCGCGTCCCCCTCCTCGCCGCCTCTCTCAGGGGCAGCCTGAGGCGACTACAGTGCTTTATTCCCCCCTCAGCGCGGCGCGAACGCCGCCGATCCATCCCCCGCTCTTGTACCCCCCCCCAGCAACAGTAGCAGCCCGCACATGATTTCCAACCCCCGCTCCCTCTCCCTTAACCCTCCCTGCCGCCCGTACCGTAACGCCCGTATCGCGACATCCTCCCGGCTTCCCGACCGCAGCCGCGGCTCCTTCGGGCGCGACCTTTTATATAGGGGAGCGGCCGCTGCGCCTGCGCACCGCCCGGGGGGAGGGGCGGGGAGGTGCAGGCACGCGCCTCGTCTCGCGACAGCGGAGAGGTTTGGGCGCGCGCATGCGCGTTGAGTCCCGCAGGGAGGCGCCGCCGCCGCCCCCGCGCGGGAGGGGTGGGCGCGGTCACTCCCTCAGCCATGGCCGCCCCTCACGCCCGCCCCTCACGGCCCCGGGCTGCTCGCCCCCCACCACACCCCAGCGAGCGCTCCCGCCTTGGCCGTGCCAAGAGGGAGCAGAGGGACCGGAGCCCCTTTCCCACCTCGCACCCCTCGTGCGTGACTCATGGTGGGCTTCTGGCCCTGCTGAGGCTGTGGGCAAAGGTGCTGAGACCACAGTCCTTATTCCTCGGCGCAGAGCCAGGGGCATTTCCTTCCTCGCAACAAGGCATTCCCAAATAACGTGGCATTCCCACACTGTTCCAAACCTGTTGTGCGGAGTTCGACCCGACACTGGCTCACACATCAGATCCATCCCAACCACACCTTGGGTGCTGCAGAGTTCAGGCTTATCCCCTCAGGCAGCTTTCGGGTGTCAGCTTTCCAGGGAGACACACGCAAGAGTGCACGCGCAGTAGACATTTTTAAAGAAATTGACACAAACCTGACAGATTCAAAGTAATTTTAAGATAAATCCTAGCAGGAATGAGGAGAGCCTTTTATTAATGAAGGTCTTTTCAGCTGCATGTGAGCACAGCAATGTGTTTTGGTGCTGGCTCCTAATAAGGCAAAACAAATACACTGAGATAAATGAGGGCTCTAAAGGCTCCTCACTGGATTAATAATCTCAGGAGGAATCACACAACGATTCCTGCATTGTGTGTTGCCATAAACTAGAAAAAAAGCATTAAGAAACGAACTTACTGAATTGCAAGAAATTCTCGTTTTACAGAACACTGGTCTTCCAATCACTGCTGCTGTAGAATAATAAATATAGATATATATAGATATATAACAAATATAGATAGGGAATGCTTTTAAATGGTTTTAAAACTTGCAATTTGCCTGCTAACCTTCCCTAATAATTTTACAAATTTGGACAACATTATAATTCATGTTCTAACAACAAGAACAGTTGTGAGGAAAACAAGCAACAACTGACCAACTACAACAACGAAACAAAACAAAACAGCTTTCTGAACTAACTTTTTAAAATCTGGTTTGGAAGTCTGAGTGTCTCAATTCTCTTTCTAAAAAAGAAAAAAATAATCTGGTAAGCAGTTCAAATAAACATGCCTACACCACTAGATAATTAATCAAATTTAAAGGCAGAGGAAAACACAGTTTAAAATTTATTGTGTATCACCTTTCACAATACTGCTACAAAAATACAAAATTGATATATTAAGTGATAAATCAGCTTAATACAGCATCATTATCTAACGGTTCGCTTTTAGTAAAAAATAGTGCACGAAAAATGCTTGTGCTTTTGGTTTATACTGTTTGTTTTATCCCTTTATTTACATACCCAAAAAATCAGACAAAAGTATCTAAAACCAGCACTTTTGCAAACAGTGAATACTGATACCCAGCACAGTTCCTAAAACACAGCAGGTAGACCCATTCCTAAAGACAAATCCTGCTTTAAACAGCAGACATCACTGTTGTTTCTCCAGATAACCCTGTACCAACCCTTGAACCCGGGACAGGATGATCTCGTTGGAGCTGCTGCACTGCTCGGGGCCGTACGGGGGGTCAATCGTTAACACCCCCGCCACACAGAGTGTCCTGCCCGACTCCCCTTGCTCCGCCACGGGGATGTGGTTTGTTTCCAGCCAAGTCTTCAAGTCATTCTTCCTCTTCTCCAGTTCCTCTGGGCTGTAGGCTTTGCTTTCCTTAGGCGCGAATATGCGAGAAAGGCGTTGCTGCATTTCACCGTCCCCTTCTTTCAGTATTTCAACCTCTTGGACAGCATGGCCCATGACAACTGAAATGGACACCTTTTCACTCTCCAGGAATGCTGCAAGGACAATGCTGTCAAGGAAAGAAGGATGTATAAGTCCCTGTTCTTAACTGAGGACTGAGAAACACAGGCGAAGATTCTTGGAAATGATGCTCACTGGCATCAGCCTAACCCAGGTACTTAGGCAATAGACAGTACCCAGCACTTTTCTTTGAAAAGAATGCTGCTGTACCCTTAAAGTACTAAAAATGTGGGCTTTGCAGGCAACTGGTGGTCTTGAATTTGAAGCTACTCTAGACACTATCAAGCAGAATATTAAAAAGCAAAGTATACATTAAAATCAGGGCTCGGAATCTAAATAATTTTGTGCAGCTTTCCCAACCTTGCTGAAGAACCTGAAGTCTTCAAAAACAGTGATACCTTCAATACATTCAGCATTTTGAATACTGAAGGCAATGGTGACAGCTAACACCACTAGAACCTTTTAATGAAAACTTATTAATATTTATTGATCATTACAGAATATTTTTTAATAACTGTTGCTAGTTTCTTAAATGAAAATAATAGCTTGAGTGTTACAAGAGGACACATTACAGCAGGTTCAGGCTCATGTTGTAGAAGCTTCATCTTTTCCCAAGGGCACTTGCACTCCAGAAGTCCTAAAATGCAGGTAGGAAGGCAGCTTGTTGATTTCTAGGATCAATTCCTCATATATGAAACAACTGTCTTCCTCTTTTGAGAACCAAAATTCCAGAATTTGATGATTCCAGCACTTCACTAATCTGTTGTTATCACCTTTCGTGGAAGTAATTACTTTTTGGGCTGTGTACAGTGAAATATGCCTCGATTTCAGCCTGGACCATCACCAGAATCACTCATTGCTGCATGTACCTTTCCTACCAAAATGATAAGAAATTCCAAGAGAAGACTATCAGAGCTACTCCAGAGTTGAAGCAACAACCAATTCTTCTGATATACATCAGAAGCTGAATGTTTTCGTTTCTAGCCTTCATCTTATGCTCATCTGGGACAAGCTCACAACTAAAAAGGTATGAAAGAGCTCTGGCAGCAAAGAGATTGCCCATCCCTGGTGCATTCTGCCTTTCAAACCCTGTTTCTGAGATACCAGAGACCTGTGGTACCACTTTCTGTCCAATGCCCTGTTGATTTTCCTTGCTTCCTCTCCAAAGAAGCCACTACACCAAAGCCACTACACCTCCATGGGGAAAACAGGGCACTGATGTGAGAACTCTGGACGGAGGATAAGGATTTCAACACCTAAAGTATTAAAAACATTCCTGCATTCCTGCTCTCTTTGTAAAGCAGGGCTGGGTATATTACTAAAAGCAGTCCTAAAGATGTGGATTGTTGAGAGGTTATAGTTGTTTAGTTTCGTAGGTAAGCTTTAAATAAGAGTTAGTCAGAGTTATAATACTGTGTGATTTAGTATGCTGTTCCCTTAGCTTTACTTGCTTAACATAAGCAGCTGGATTTGCTGAGGCCTTAGGCTGCAAGCTGTGAACTTTCAACTTGCAGGTGTGCATTTGGCCAGTGTAGAGTTAATTTCTTTAGCAATTTTCCTAGAAGCCAGTACAGTGCTGAGTTTTGAATTTAGCATGAGAATAATGTCGATAGCACGCTGATGTTTTGGTTGTTGCTAAGCAGAGCTCACTCTGAATCAAGGGCTTTTTAGTTTTCCATGCTCAACCAGTGAGGAGGTGCACAGGAAGTACAAACCAGACGATAAGGAGGCCGCAGCCATCAGCAGAAGCTGCAACTCGACAAGAATAGTTAATGGCCTGTCCGCAGGGACACAGAGAAAGAATCCAATCTGGTATCTGAAGACCCCAGACCAGAAACCACCACTGGATCAAGAAGCACATGCAAAGTGCACGAGGAGCATGTGAGCAATGGGCACACGGGCTGTAAGGGTATAAAAGCCCAAGGACTTCTTTGTTCTGGATCCCTCTCCAGAGGCACCCAGCTCATGCTGACCCCTCCTGCTGTACCACTGTATTAAATTATTTATTTTTATAAACTACAATGTTGCTTTCTCTTAGGCCTTGCCAGTTAAAAAAACCAGGACACACAGCCCTAGTGTGCAGTTTTTGCTCCAAATGAGTTTACTTCAGTTTTGGGATCTTTTCTCCTTCAAAAAAACCCCTTGTTTTCCATTAGTTTTATAGAAATAAAAGCTTTGGTACTCACCTGGCAGAAACTGGATCAACTGTTAAAACCCATCCTTCATACTCATGTTTCTCAATTGCAACAACTTTCACCAATTTGTTCACATACGTTTCCCAGTCTAGAGGGCTCTTCTTCTGCCAGTCATTCATATTTCCTACATCCAGAACCTAGAAAACAAACAGAGCGATTAGAAGACGCAGTGAGTGCCTTTTGCTTTGCTTTTCACATCAGAACTGTGTTTGCCTCCAGGATAAAGATTCGTGTTAAATAAAATGTACCTTTTTTTAAAAGCAGACGTTCACACAAGTGTTTTGCATACAGCTGAAGTTCTGTAATTTCACACACAGTTCACCTGTTTTTAAAGGCACACCAGCAAAGCCTCACACGACGCTTTAAAGATTCCATTTATTGCTCTTACCCTCTTACAAAACCTTTGGGATCGCCGTCCCTTGAGGGTAAAATTTTACCGCCTTTGCTTCGTGTACTGGGACAGCACTTGTGTCCAAGCCCTTCTGCTGCCTATGGATAAGCGTTCCCGTCCCACTCCCCGCCGAGGCCTCCTGGCAACTGCACCCGGGCGGGACCCGCTCCCTGCCGCTGCCGAGCGCTCTCCGCCACGCTCCGGGGGTTTTCAGTACTATGAAATGAGACAGTCATATTTTTGCAGACTTGAGATAATTTCCTTTTTTTTTTTTTAAGTCTCAATTCAACTTCTGCAGTACTACAGGGATTATTTATGAATGGCTTGTGTCACCGTATTCAGCTACTGCTTTCTTTCAGTTATAGTTTACTGAAAAGCAGGGATAGCAAATCTGTTTTCATTCTAAGACCAAGCAACACAATGGGAAAGCAGCTCCCCTTTAAAACAGAAACAATGGGAAGAAGAAACATAATTTGTTTTTATCTATATATATATGCATTGTAGTTGTTCAACTGATCCCTTCTGGGTCAGAGACTGGAGAGTGTTTTGTTCAAAATACCTTTTGAGCAAAATACTCCAAAAGTCTTCAGGTTTAATCCCTACCGATCATTTTTTCTCCACTACTGTCAGTGTAGTTACCAGAGCTCTCCCATCCGGAATTTAGCAGTTGCCAGACGTGACAATCACGGTCACAGAGAGGTGAGGCTGTCCCAACTCAAGTGACTCTTGCCACTGGAAGCTCCCGGCGCGGATCGAGCCATAAACAGTCCATTTGCGGAACAAAGCCCGCTTTTCCTGTGGGAACAGCTCTGCAGGGATTGCTGCGCTGCGCTGCGCTCCCAAGCTGCCCTGACCGTTCGGAAAGGTCAGCAGCAGCTCGGAGAGGCCGCGGTTCCCGGGTGCCACTGCCTCCTGATTTGGATACCGCCTCCAATACCGAATATATCCAAGGACTGCTCCCACACAAGAGATGCCAGGACCGAAAGGTCTGCTAGCCTTACTTCCCTTGGGCAGACGATCCTGCGCAGCAGCACCAGGAGGCTGCGGTGCTTCCTTTCTCGAGGAAAGGTGCAATTCCCCGCAGGGCTCCAATTCCCCCTCAGGAGCTTCTACCCCCACGCCCCGCCCCTCGCGCATGCGCGTCGTCGCCGCCGGGCGGGGGCGGGAGCGCGGGGCAGGAGGCAGGCGCATGCGGTAGCGCGTGCGCGCGGGCGGCGGAGCCGTCGGGATGTCGCGTTACGGCCGCTATGGAGGCGGTGAGAGCGACCGGGGCGCCGCGGGCGGCCGGGATATCCGCGGGGGGCAGGGAGAGGAGGGCCTGAGGAAGGGGCGATTACCGCGGGGAGCGGAGCGGCCTGCGGGCGCTGGCGGGGAAGGGAGGAAGGCGAGGCGGCCGCTCCTGCCGTTGTCGCCGCCGCCATTTTGCGTCAGCGGCCGTGGGGGGGGAGGGGGCGCGGCCGCGCGCGCCGCGCTCGCGGCGAAGGCGGGAACGGGTCGCGCGGACAAGATGGCGGCGGGGGGGCGGGGCCTGGGCCCGGTTTGGGCGCTGACATCGCTTCGCTCCCGCAGAGACCAAGGTGTACGTGGGCAACCTGGGCACGGGCGCGGGCAAAGGCGAGCTGGAGAGAGCCTTCAGCTACTACGGCCCGCTGAGAACCGTGTGGATCGCGAGGAACCCGCCGGGGTTCGCCTTTGTGGAGTTCGAGGACCCCCGGGACGCTGAAGATGCCGTGCGTGGACTTGACGGGAAGTACGTGTGCATTTCGGACGCCTGCCGGTTTTTAAGACCAGAGAGAGTTTCTCCGGTTCTTCTGCTTTTGTAGTCGTGTGGTAAACTATAGCGTTTAACTTAGAGCCGTCGCGGACTTTGTTGCAGGGTGATATGTGGCTCGAGGGTGAGAGTGGAAGTGTCCACGGGAATGCCGCGGCGCTCCCGTTACGACAGGCCCCCTGCCCGGCGCCCCTTTGACCCCAACGACAGATGCTACGAGTGTGGTGAGAAAGGCCACTATGCCTATGACTGTCACCGCTACAGCCGCCGCAGGAGGAGCAGGTACGTGCGGGGCCGGGGCGGCCGCGTTGCTTCGCCAGTTTCGCTTTTGTGTAGTTCTTGTTAGCAAAGAACAGAATGTTACACCGGTTTTCTTTAAACTTTAACGCTAGAATAAATGTATAGGTGTATATTACAATTTGTTGCTATTTCTATCAAATGTTAATATTTTAATAATCAACCTGGTCAAAACCTTTCAGGTTTCTTCGTTTGAGTCAGTCGCCTTGATTCAGAATGTCACGAGCCTTAAGATTTCATGCTGAGGCGCCTTGCAAATCCGACACTTAAGATCCTCCTAGACCTTGAGGTGATCAGCATAAGAGGCCAGATCCCCTCGAGCCATCTACACGTAGCTTCACCTTATTCTTTAAGGGCAGAAAATTTGAGACGGTGACCGCCGTAACAGTAAATTTGGCTTTCAATTGGGGCCCCCCTCCGGTTTAGAAAGAGGAACACCAGATTGACCACATTCCCACCTAGAAAAATCTTCTTGCGTCAATCAAGCCTCACCCTGGCTCATTGGGCTGTCAGTTTGATCGTCGTTAGATTGAAGAGAACACCTAGATGCAGCGATCGGCTATAGATACTTCTAGATCGTCTAGATCTGCTAGACCTTGGGCCAAAGAGGGTCGACCTGCAAACTTGCAAGGTTTATTTTAAATACGCATTACAGTGTTTTCTATTCTAATGTAATTCTGCAAATGTAATTCAGCTTTTAACATTTTTCTAGGTAGTAAAAATGCTCAAGACGAGTAGGCCCAGAGAGCTTTTCCAAATGACAGATGCTAGTTCCTTAGTTGTCTGAAATGAGTTTTGACTTCAGCAGGGCCTCACATGCACTGGTTGCTGCAGCTGTTTGGTGATACCTGTTTTCTCTAACCTAAACCCAGGTCCCGGTCTAGATCGCGCTCGAGGTCCCGAGGAAGGAGGTATTCTCGGTCACGCAGTCGGAGCCGTGGTAGGAGGTGTGCTTCAGTTTGTCTTCTATTCCTGTTTTCTCGTTCCGGTTAGAAAAAGCTGCACTTCTACAACTCTTTAATTGATTTTTTTGGCAGGTCCAGGTCAGCTTCCTATCGTAGATCCCGGTCTGTTTCTCCTCGTAGGTCTAGGTCCGTGTCTCCCCGCCGGTCCCGATCAGGTTCTTTGAAGAGATCAAGGTAATTAGTAGACATTTTTAAAATACTGTTTGCTTTACTTTTGTTGGAATTTTCTGATTTAATTAGGTTTTGGATAGCAGACTTCAAAAGGTGTTGAGCTCTAGAAGTCAGCTTCTTAAAAAGTTTCTGATAATCCTAGCTAAATTCACTGGCGTGGTAATTCGAGTGAGTTTTGGGACTTTACACAACAGCATGTCCCATAATGAATTTCTATGTGCAAAATGTGTAATGATCGTGTAGCTTTTAAGTTCAAGATCTGACGTTAATTTATGTAGTACTGTAATTGTCGTCACTTCTGGTTGAGTTGACTCATTTTTCTTCTTAATTTTTTTATTTCAGGTCTAGATCAAGATCCAGGTCTAGGTCAAGATCTGTTACATGGCCCCGAAGCAGGTAAGATCTCTTCTGTGACTGCTGATACTTGGTAAGAGTTGCTTAGAAGTCTGTTTAGGCTCTCTAACTGTTAACATTTTCAGAAAAAGTTGCATTTTCTCTGCACTAACTTAGATGTTTGTAGTTTTAAGCAATGCAGAAGATTGTTCTTTCTCTTTTTATTGTTTTGCATGGCACTGACATCCAGTTCCCTGTAGTCATCACAAGTATTGGTTTGATCAGGTTGCATTAACAGCTAACAGAGCAAACATTTATCTTAAAAGTTTATTTTTTTTGTGTAGCACACACAAGACTGTAGATTCTTCCTATTATTTTTGCGAGAAATCAGGGTGCCCTTCTGGTAGTGTATTAATGCATTAATGTATGCAGCCAGGCAAGTCCTGAAGGGCTTAGTAGTGCCCTGAGTGCTGCAGATGTAATTCCAGCTCTGTTGAATAACAAAGTGTCTGTCTGCAGGAGCTCACTTTAATTTGAGATAAACACCAATCAGAATTACTCTGTACCAATAAATGCGTCATAAGAGTAATGATCGAATTTTAGAGGAACACAAGATGTCATCTGTTCTCTTAAATTCTAGTTCATAGTAAGTAAAGGCAGCTGGTGCTCCATGGAGCACGCTGGTTGACACCCTGGATGTGCTGGATGGACTGTCAGGAGAACAAGAGTAAATGGAAGTTCTGCTCTGGAGATGGTGCTGCTTATGCCCCCAGCCCATCCCCGTGCCTGCTGTCCTGGTTTGGTGGCTACTCTTTGAAACAAGTAACATAATGGTCAACCGGGAAGAAACAGAGAAAAATAAAGGGAAGCTTTTAGCTGAAGGGAGAAGTACACTTTTCTACCTGTTGAATCTTAATACCAGTTGTTTCAATATGACTTAATCATGGCTCATCAGTGTTCCCTGTTGGTGATGAGCAGAAAACAGCTACAGTCAGCAGATTCTCAAAGAAAAAAACCACCTTGATTTTACCACCATTGTTTTCTCTTTCTCATTACCAGGGTGGTTTTCTGCAGGGTAAAAGATACCTTTAGTGACATTTCTAGACTATTGTGTGACACTTTTCATTGTAAGTAGAAATTAGGTGACTGAGGCAGAGGAAGTTACAGATATAAAAGTATATAGAAGTGGCAAAATAATGGTGCTTAACTCCAGTGAAGTCACTGCCACACTTCACATGAGGCAATTGAAAGATGGTTTCTTTACAGAAGAGTCCAAGGAATGTGTCACACCCGGAGAAAGGCTCTGGATTCTTGAGGAGGACAGACTGAACAAGTACATGATGTTTGCTGGTTTGACAGCATCACAACATACATCTGGAAGTTGTTGTGGAAAGCCTTGGATGTGGAATATAGAACACTTCCTTTGGGGATCTAAAAATTTCAGTTAGGCTTTCAGGCAGTATTAGTGTTTCTTCTGGTGCAGCAGTCTTATCTCAAAGACTGACATTTAGGACAGTTTTTTCACAAGGATTAAGTTCAGACATTTCAAAAATATTTGAAGCAAGTGCACGTATAAGTTGAACTTCACAGAGGAGAAAGATTCTTGAGGAATGTTCTACCTGCAGCCACTTTAACTGTAGTGGTCAAGCCTAATAAAACTTGCAAGTTTAGAACATGGCTTTTTTATTTATGTATTGGTCAGGATTTGGGTTGTTCCATGTATTCCTTCCACCTGCATCAGCAAACACTGGTCATCAGGCAGACACCAAAGTACAGAGCAACATGTGCAGCATCCATGTTTAAAGCTTTCTTCTGAAACTTAGCAGGCAAAGCCCTGGAAACTTGCAGGATTCTTTGTGTTCACCATGATAGTTCTCATACACTGAGTGTGACTCCTGGTGTCTCAAACATGGGAACATGTGTGCTCTCTGCTTCCCTGCTGACTGTTTCTTCTTGTTGTAGGTCTAGGTCTCATGGCAGATCAAAGTCTGGCTCTCCGGCTAAGAGGTGAGCATGCACAGATAGAGCCTGCAGTAGTGTCTCAAATTCAGTGCTAGGTTTGCATGATTAACAGAGCCTGGTCCTTTAGAAAAAAAATCTCCCAACATGAGCCCCCAGCTAATCTGTGATATGACAGATTATAAAATTTCCTCTGTAACTCTGGGACAGCTTCCCAGAGCTGTCCCTTTGTTTTCATTAACTCTTTGTAGTTTCCAACATACTACTAATTTTTTGTGGGTTTGTGCTCAGTTGTTACATTTTTCTATCCATAAGAAAAAGGGTTTGAGCTTTGTAAATGCTGTTGATAAAATATCAGGAATCTGTGATGCTGTTTCTCTACTCAAAGCCTCACCTCAGTACTACCTACCCCTTGTTTTTCTGTTCTCTCTGCTGAAGACTGTTGCTTAAAATTAATCTCCACGGTAAATGAGTAGAGAGTCCCTGTCAAAGTAAAAGTTGATTTGAAAACTTTGCCGTTGGAAAGACCTTTTGACTAGATCCCATAATAATTCCATTGCTTTCTGATATGCGCACTTTTTTAAAATATAAAAGTTTTGAATATAAAAGTATTTGATCTTTAAGCTGCATTGCTGATGTTCTGTTTTGACAGTCGGTCAAAGTCCCGATCACCATCTCCAAAGAGAAGGTATGTTGATCTCCCTATTAATAACATAGACTCTAGAGCTGGCATTTTAATACCTGCACTGATTTCTGCTGAGGAGTTTAACTGCTGCTTGTAGGAAAATACTGGAAACGTATTTTCCTGAGATCTCTTTGACAGAAATAATGTTGTGGTTGTGGCTTTCTATATTGTAATATGTACACATGGTAGTAATTCCTTAGGGTACTGGTTATGTAGCAGTGTTACATCTCGTCTTTGTTTGCTCCCCCGTTCCTTTCAGTTCACTAACAGTGTGATTGCATAAAGACTGATAAGCTTAAAACACAGAATAAATGTGGAAATCAGCTTTCAGTCTCATTAAAAGCTACATGGAGGTTGGGGAAGGTGGAGTAACCCGGCAGAGCAGTCAGGAATGGAAGACCAAGCCTGTGACTTTTACTGCTGATTATTTGTTCTATCCCAATATGTCAGTAAATAGTTTTCTCCTTGTGTGTATGCATTATGTGTAGTGACAAAACCAGCAGCATTTTTTCCCTAATTTGAATTCTTTAATAGTTCATTTTTACAACTTCAGTGTCAAACAATTACAAGGGCATGCCTATGTGCTCACAAATGCTGAATGATCACAATAGTTTTTGACAAGCTGCTGTTTCAGAACAGTGAAGAGGTATCTTACTTTTCTGAAGGTCACTATTAGTAATTAGATAGCCTTACAGTAATCACATTTAAATTGTATTATAAAAATAACAGGAAAGAAATGCAAAAATTCGAAAGAAAAGTATTAAGTCTAAATCATCAGCCTATTACCGTTGTCCATACTGATTGGTTATCTTATTAAAAAACAGTGCTTAAAGTGTGCCAGAGTCTAGGTGTCCTCCTGTTGCTTTTTCCTGTATTTGAATCCCAAAGGACTGCTGAAATGTTAATTGTGGATTCTTTTCCTTTCAGCCACTCACCATCAGGAAGCCCGCAAAGAAGTGCAAGTCCTGAAAGAATGGATTAAAGTTATGAAGTTAATCTTTTAGGAAGAAAGTTATTTTGCTTACATTATTATAAGGGATTTTGTGGTGTCTTTGTAAATGTAAGAATGTAGATAGAAGAGTATATCAACTAAAATTTGGCATGATCTGGGTCTTCTGAGTTAGTCACACCAATAGACTAGCACAGGTCTCTTTTTATTGTATGAAATAACTTCCTGTGATATGAAAATGTGGGACTTTTTTATTGGCACATTGAAATAAAATGTGTATTTTTAACTAAAACCTCTCTGTAGTAACCCTGCTGCTTCTGTTAACATGTGGGTAATTTTAGCTGTGTGCCATGTAATGTGGATGAAAAATGTCTAAAATGGGAATGACTAACACTGGTCAGTGTCTTCTCAAGGCAGCCACTTTCACATCTGTTGTTGACTGGTCTTCGGTGAAAGGATCGGTTCCTGCCTTCTTTGAAATGGAATTTAAAATCCACGTCTGTTTGCGCAGATGGATAAAAATTGGCATATGACCTTTTCATTCCTTGATGATTATTTAGTGGGCATTCCTTTTTTTCCCTGATTTGCTCACTCTGCAAAGCTTATTCCCTGGTGTTTGGTGATACCAGATGCTTGAAAATTTAAGGATAAACTGCAGATAACATCTGCAGAAACCTCTAAAGGCAATAGAAATCATTAATAACTTATTAGTTATTTCTTAGGCTATTAATATAAAGAAAAATTCTTAAAATATCTCAAGGCGGCTTTTCCTTTTTTGATGGAAGACATAAGGTCTTCTGACCTACTTTCTGAAGGACCTTATGAAAATGTGTTTGAGAGGTGAAAGAAAGCTGTTACCAGTCTTTCTGCAGCTCACTCGAACTCTTCTCCTTTAAGATTCTCACAACTGACCTCAGGAGTTCTAATCTGCTTCACAGAAACTGGTATGTTTTTAAAGCAGCCTCCGTATCCTGGAGATGGTTTTGTTGAATTATGCTAATTTCTTACAGCAGATGTACAGCCTGCAGGACTAATTATTTGTGTATAGGTGTGTCAAACTCTGTCCTCATTCTGTATAAAAGAATTGTATGATAAGGCACTTTGTTGACACAGATCACAGCAAAAGGCTGGAAACAATGTTAGACTGTGAACAAACAAACTGGTAGGCAGAGGGGAGAAAAGCAAACTTTTTTCTTGCTAGGGTGGGATATCTAGCAGAAATAAAGGCCAGTTTCAGCAGTAAATAAGCACTGAAATGAAAAGCAAGGCCTGTTTGGGCTTCTAATGAAATCTGTTATGGCAGTTTGATTCCAATGTGTAAACGACAGCAGAGCAGCTCACATGGAAACGAAGTTACAAGATGGGCCACACCTTGGGTAACCCGTGGTTTTCAAGAACCAGGTTTACTGTTAACTTGGAGCTTTTCCAGTGTGAGTCAACAGTCCAAATTCTGAGTGTACTGACCTGCTGCAGCATCATCTGGCCCTTGTGGCCTGGTCCTCGCTGCTATGGTGTTTCCTGTGCCTGGATCCTCCCTGCTGCCCACGATGGGCGTTGGTGTTCCCTATGCCGGTTGCGATGATCAGCGTTCCTGATCAGCGTTCTCACAATACCCGTTAAATTCCGTTGTTGTCGCAGTGGGAGAGCAGGGGGTGGCACCAATATTACCCTGCAGTGATTCAGCCCAAATGCTCAAAGCCTGTGGTACGTGTTTGGAATATTTACTGGTTGTGCATTGCCTGCCTGGTTTATGGTGTGCCTGTTCAGAGGCACACATATGCCACTACTCTGGAATTTGATCACCTTTTCTTTTCTGTACTCCTACGGCAAACCTGCTCCACAATAAACCTGCAGCCTGACACGACAGCTATGCTGGTACCTGTTTTTCAGTACCCAGAGACACCGTGGAAGACTGAGCCGAGGAGCCCAGGGTTTCTGTAGGGGGTTGGGGTTCCTCTAAACCCAGGTGTAGCGGCAAAACAAGCAAGGAGGCAGGGCTGTGCTGGCAGGGACGGCCACTGCGAAGGACAGCAAGCACTTCAAGGTGCAGAGAGGGAACAGTGACAAAGCTGACATCTTGTGCTTCCGTGCAGCTGTAGTGTCCAAAATTGAGGGTGGTCATGCTGCCTCCCTTAGCTCATCATCATCCAGCTCCAGCTCTCACCTGAGTTTAGGAGGATTTCACCATAAATTCCATACAGTGTGAGTAATTGGAAGATTCCCCGAGAGGTGTGTTGTGTGACGGCTACTGCTGTGACCCTGGGCCCTGCGCCTCTGGGCAGGGTGTGCACACCCCACACAGCCTGGGTCAGGGGCAAGGGGACATGTATCCAAGGTCTCTGGTGCGATGGGCAAACTCCACTCTCATAATGGGCTTCCCCTGGTTTGCAATCTGGCATTCCCTGCTACTGGGCTTTGCTCTCCAAGTGGGTGCCTGGCCAAGAACTGTCTGTTTCCCTGGGAAGAGGGCTGTCAGCTACGTAATATGACGGTACAGCCATCCCCTGGCTTATGCTAATTTTTTAGGAAACCTCAGAAACGTGGAGGTTTTCATCAGACAGGCCCCTGTTGAAGGGGTTTTGAGATTACATATTTCATGTGGAAACACAACATTAAGATGATGGTTTTCCTCCTGCAGTTGTATATTCAGGACTAAATGGATGTGCCTGCTTCACTTCAGCAGCCAGGGCATCTTCCATACTATGCTCTTGTGCAGCTCTTGCTGGCTTTGAAATAGGAGTTGAACCAGAGGATCCAGGGCAGCCAGGTGGGATAATCCCAGCACACCGTCTGCCACAAAGCTATTCTGCGTAAGCACTGTGCGCTGTGCAAAGACAGCAGCAGCCAGCACAGCCCAGAGCACTTTGCTGGAAATAGCAGATGTTGTAATGAACAACCACAACTGCATCAGCCTTCCCACATACTCCACATGAATATCACAGAATATACCTGCTGTAGTTGGAGCTGGGACGTGCCATATCCCTAAACAAGGTGTATTTTTTACTGCAAAACAAAACCTAGTGCCCAGGGTGACACTAGACAGAGTGTGAGAGCTTTGCACAGAACAGATAGAAGCAGAGGTGGTGACAGGAGTCAAAGCCAGTAGAAACCACAGGTGAAAACCACAAGAGGAAATAAAATGCTCCCAAGTGGGATCATCATCCAGGGTAGTTGGAGAGAGCTCTGTTCAGCACCTGGCAGGGTTTCTGGCTAAGCTGCTGGAGGAACTTACCCCCCTCACTGGTAGGAGTCAGCAGTCCTTCTCCTCAAGCAGTGTTGAACACGAGCCAAGTGGTGGAGTTGTATTCCTCACCTGGATGGAGCAGGACATTGGGGAAGTGGGGCTGGGGAGAGACAGCAGCGCATCAGTGACTGAATGAATTCCGTGGAACCACAAAGGGTTATGAAAGCATGGCTGCATCCCTTTGGCCTTCCCAGGGCATCATCCTACAGCTCCCCCCAGCCATTTCCAGCAGCAGTGTGTAACCCCCCGTCACTTGCCATCTGGCTGAGTGGGCGAGTCCTCCCACTGGTTGAATTCAGGCCATAAGGAATAATTCAGATTTATGAGGACATGGCAAGGCCCCAGTAGGGTCTTCTGCTCTAGACTCCATGCTTTGGGAAGCTGGGCTGCACAGGGCTAGTCCCTGCTGCGCTGACTGATCCCTCTCTAAGGCCACAGTACGCTGTGACCTGTGCCTGCCTCTGTTCTGGTGTCTACAAAGCCTCTCCAAGACTCTGTTTATATATTTAATGCTCCAGAGACATGGAGGGTGGTGAGGGTATGGTCCCCTGCCACAGGACCCAAGCAGCCCCTGTGAGGGGAACAGACAGTTCACCTTGTTGACGGCGTCGGGCCAGTTCTGGGTTTCCAGGCAGAAAGCCGAGTGCTTGGGGTATGTGATGCCACCTTTGCCCTTCAGGGAGCCATCAAGGTTGTTCCCGGTGTAAAACTGGATGCCAGGCTGGGTGGTGTGAACCTCCATGGTCCTGCCGGTGGGTGGGTGGCGAACCCTGGGGAAATGCCAGTGGAAGATGCCAAGGGACTGGCTGAACAGGCACCCCACAGCTCCAGGGGTTGAGGACCCCTTGCCAAGGTCCCAGCCTACCTGGCTACAAGGTGTGGAGACTGCACCTCCCGCAGACAAAAGTTGTGGTCAAAGCCATCCAGGTGAAACTTCTGCAAGTGCTTTCCCAGCTCCACAGGCTGCCGGAGATCAAATCCAGTGCCCTGCACGGTGGCCACCTCCCCTAAGCAAGGAGAACAACAGCGTCAGCCACTCCTCCACACACCAGCAAACCCCTGTGGGGCTGGTTCCTGGGCAGGATTGAGATCCATTGGTTTGATTAGCTGAGGAGTTTGATCCTTGTCTCAGTGCAGTGTCCTGCTTCAAGCAAGCTCCCCTCGTGGCCACTGTGACTTGGGCTGGGATATCACTCACCTTGTCCCCCAGCACAGCTGGCAGCCCCTGGGGTGCTGCTGTTCTTAGCAGGGATAAAGCACAGATAAGGAGCAAGAAAACACATGGGAGGTTTGTATTTGTAACTGTACAAGCTAATATAAACCCTAAACTTCTTGTATATTAATGGTTTTGTATGCATAATATTTACCTACAGACACTATCTCTGTACAAAGTAATTATTCCTTCCAGATCTCTGAATAAACACCTCTGAGGTGGCCACGAAGGTGGTCCACCTATGGGATGATGAATATGGGACCAGTGGGACCGGTCCCCTTCTGCCTCAGGGCATTGTTTCAGGAAAATGGTTAAAGACCACAAACCCAGCATTTGCTCTTGTCTTTTTTAAGGCCTGCTGTGGGAATTAAGTCCTGTGAAGCAAGAACAGCCCTAAGACATACTAAACACAGTGCAAAACACAGTCACACCAACCCAAAGGCAATGGGTTTGGCATAGGAAAGGGGAAGACAAAGGGAAGGGATGTTTTCCTAAAGTCACATTTTTTCTACGCCTCTCTAAAGAGAGAAGTTTCCAAAGGTCAGCAGGCAGGTGCCAGCATTGGGGATGGCCCTGTTGCAGGCCCCATGAGCTGTGCTCTGCTCACTGCAGCCACACATCCAGCTTGGCTGTGGCTCTGCACCAAGTGTACCCTGCAAACCTAGGGAAGCATCAGTCTGCACTTGACAGCAGCACATTTCTGAGGCTCCTGATCCTGTCTAAAAGGAACACAGTTACTCAATTCAGCCATGAGGTGGAAAAACACCTTGGGAAAAAATGAAACCATTCTGATTCAGTTACATAAAATACAGCAGCCATTGCCAGGGCTCTGTCT